ATCGTTGGAAAGCCCATAACAAGCGCTTTTCAAAAATGTCATACAACAGCCTATTTGGTAAAGTTATTTTTCCAATTATTCAAAAACGAAGACGTAAAATTTTCATTTTTTTTACTATATTCAAGGGTGGATGGAGGTGTGTCACTTATCATGTCAATTAAATTCCCCCTAGGAACCACCAAAACGGTTTTGAGTGATTATTAATAACTTTTTCAGTTGAGAGAAATTGCCGATTGCAAGTTTTAAAATTGACACAGTGTATATTGTGAAAATTTAAATTTAAATCAAGAATTTTTTATTTTCTAGAGGCGTTCCACCTATCCGGGGACACACTGTACAACAATTAAATTTCTCAAAGTTTATGTACCAATTATAGTTTTGTGGTTATCAATGATACAAAAACTACTTATTTTTTCAAAAAATTATTTTGAATTTTTGTTGCATGTCGTCAAGTTAAACTTCTAAAAACTAACTTTTGTTTTCCAGAAAGTATGGAACTAAAGGTTTTTTTTTAATTTAATTAATTGATGAATAATAAGTGAATAATAATGTAACATTACCCAAAAGTAAAAATTTCTTCGATTTTTTTTGTTTTATTTTTTTTCAGATAGGAACCCCTTATAAGACCTTTTTTACAAAGACCATGATCTAAAAGTATGTATTTACCTTTTATTCAATTTTATTTGAATTTTTTTTATGTAAGTTGGCATTTTGAAAAAAAACAAAACTCAAAAGCAAAAACAAATTTTATTCCAAAAAACGATCAGATTTTGATAGCATTTTTTTAATTCCTTATTAATTATTATTGTCAGAAGACAATGTTTAGTTCCATACTTTATTTTATGCACCTTATATGTCTTTTTCAAGGATGTAAACATAATGAAAAATCAAAATATTAATTTTTATAAATGATTAGTACTAATTAATACAACTGATTTTACTTAAAGTAGGCTCGTAGTTTTATATGAATTACGCTATAGATAAACAAATCACCTTTTTTATTAATGCTAAATAAGTTTTAGTGCATTTTTTTATAAAATTCTAATTCATGCTTTCATTTAAACCTAAATTTATTTTTAGTATCAACAAGAGAAAAGTAGTTTTTTGCAGGTTGGCAAACAGGGTTTTGCTCTATAGTTTGATTATTTGATATAATTTTTGTAGAGTTTTCGTAAAAATATTCATAATTTTGTTTTAAAAAATATAACACTAAATATATATTTTATCATATTTTGGAGTTGATTTTTCTTTAATATAATTTCACAAACCATTTTTTTATTACAGTAACTTCAAGTTTCACCACAAATTTTGTCAAAAAGTAGATTTTGTTTTTTTATTTTTTACACAATAACGATTCATTTTTATTTATTGATATGTTGAGCGTTTCTTGATACAAGGTATTTTTTATTTTACATGTTGTAAAACGCTTAAAACGCTTTATTTCGAAATTTTTTCCTTAGTGAGATTTTTGATCCTTCTGACCAGTCCGACCCTGTCGGCCTTACCTTGAATTTTCCCTCATTTCGTTTTCATTCGAATCAATAATTTGAAACGAACTAGTGGTAGGTCTATGCACTAGCCTTTCAATCGGATATTGAACAAAATTTTCTTTGTAGAGCGGATGCAAGTCGTGGAGTCCTTCAAGTATCAGATGGTCGTCAGGTTTCCCTCTTCTGGTAGGAGAAATATCCTGAAAAACTGAAATTTCAGATGATGGAGAATCGTTTCAGTGCCAATACCTCTCGGAGGTTTTCACACGACCAGAAATCTTTAAATCTGCGAGTATATTCGCTTTTCAGCAATTTGAAAGAGCCCTCTCGCAGTTTCAGGTTGTCACTAGGCCACTCATTTTCTGAAAAAATTGTGATTTTACGAGTTTTCTGGCGGATTTTGCTACCTGATGCTCGTTTCCGGCGATATAACCAAAGTTCGTCGACTGTGGTCCCCGGCGGAAAGCCGGATTTGTGATTTCTTCCGGCCGTGTTGAGATCCGGCTCCGAGGCGGAATTTTTCTTATGGACTTTCCTGCAATTTGCGGTGTTTTAATTTCATTCAATAAAGCTCTATAAATAAACCATGATCACATTAGAAGCACTTATCGCCGCTTCCTGTAACCCTTGCATGTTGCCCCTAATCACGCATCGAAAACTCTTCTACAATTCGAGAAAATTCAATGCGAAAATGATGCACCGACTGAACAGAGGGTTTTAAACAACAAGCAAATTCCGTTGCATGTCAAATGAGTACCAGGCTACAACCGGAACATTGGATTATCCACGGCTCGATTTCCATCCCTTTCGCTTTCACAGTGACAAACGAAATCGGACGGATGTTACGTTTACAAATGTGGATTTTGCAGCAAGTTTTGTCGTGACGTCTCCACACCGACCCCGTGACCCAAATTGGTTCACGAGGAAATTATTTTGGGGTGTGGACAAGGAGAAATTTATCATAATGAGGAAATTTGTTTCCGGTAGGGCACAGTGCACCGGCTCAAGGTTACAGGTTCACCTAAATCACTGGCCCTAATCTAAACTTTGATTGGCTTGGCCTAGGGAAAACAGATCACGTGCACGCAATGCGAGGCGTTAAATGAGGTGAAGGGAAAATTAAGTCGTCTGGGCGAATTGTAAATGAATTAGGTTTATTTTAGTGCCAGAAATAATTATTTTTGTTACAAGGACCTAAGATACCTAAAACTCATCTGCTGTTCCAGACTCGGCTTCGCCTCGTCCGGAATAAACAGCAACGATTCGTCAGCAAAAACAACATTATTTTTTTTAAACTTTCAAAAACACATTCAAACCTCTTATTATGTAGACTAATGTGATGAGAGCAAATATTCCTCAAAAATAGTGATTTTTGGGAACGCATATAAAATAACTTTTTTTTATTTTTATTTATGCTTAAAGCTGCTTATCAATATTTTCATTTGTTTAAAAGGTTTATCATATTTTTATACAGGGTGAATATAAAGTATGGAACCAAGTGGTTTTATTTTTAATCATTTGCATCCAGAAAATAATAATTAATATAAATTAGAGTAATATAAAAAATGTGATCGTATTTTCAGAACGAAATTTTGTTTTGTTTTTGAGTTATGCGATTTTTTTTTTGTCAAAATTGCAATTTATGTGAAATTTTTTTTTTGAAAAAATTAAATATAAAGTGGATAGTTGTAATCCTTAGAGTATAGCTTTTATGAGAAAAATGATTTTATAGTGGGTTGCCATTTAAAAAAAGATAATTTTTTTGTAGAACTCAAAAACAAAAGGAAATTTCGAAAAATTTTATTCTTGTTAAATCATCACATTTTTATTGTACTTTATAACTCATCAATTAGTTTTAAAAAAATAAATAGTTTAAGCAAAAAACGTTTGGTTCCATACTTTTTATTCACCTGGTATGTTTTCCATTGTGTTAACATGCAATAAAGTAATACCGATTCTTTTTATTAAATGATAAAACTTTAACTTTAAAGACGATGAATCAGCATTTTCAGTTTCCACTAAGAATATTACAGTTCAAACGTTTATTTTTCAAATTTGATAAAAAATAAAACAAATCAAATTGAAACAAAAAGAAAAAACGAAGTTTTCGTTAATATAAACATAAATAGATAGAATGGAATTTAGAGCCAGATATTGCATTTTTTTTATTTTTGTTAAAATATTTAATTACACTAAATGATACAATAATTAGAGACTATAATTTAGCAACTTACCACACAATGATATGTATTAAATTCAACAAAAGCTATTAGAACAAGTATAATTTTTGTCCAATTTTTCCGCGTACTTCTGAAAATTCATTAAATGAAAAATGGTCCGAAAAAGTCGATTAAGTTTCCAATTAAAATTTAGATCCAAACAGAAATCAACTACGAAAAACAAAACGAGGTTTTGTTAAAAAATAAGTCTAAAGAAATAAAATAAGACGAATTTAGAGTCTAATTCTGCTATTTCTTGTAAGTATACTCTATAGTCAAAATTTTTTGATAAAAAAATAACTAAATCAAGATGAACAAGCCGTGACTTGACTGATTTCTCATAGAAAATTTACAAAAACCTATATAAAAATAATCGTTAGTATAATTTTCGAGTCGTTTCATATATTCTGAAACTTATGAAGTGAAAAAAGGTGTAAATTTTCTATTTGTTTAGCTTCAAAATAACCAATCTGCTTTTTTAGTTTCTATGTAGAATTTGGATTCTTATTGAAAAATAAGTCAAATAGGAAGAATGTATAAAATAAGACAAATTAAATCTTGATTGTGCGCTTTCTTGTGTAAATTTAGAGTTTAGACAAGCTGAAAATAAGTACCTACCTATAATCTTGTTTTGTTTTATATTTTCAAGAAAGTGCAATTATTTTAAATTTTCTAACTGTTAAACCAAATCGATAAAAACAACGACAAAAAGCGAGATTTTTTTTAAAATATAAACCTAAAGAAATAAAATAGAAAAAATTGAGACCGCCCTGATTCTGTGACTTACCTATTAATTCTTGAATAATCTTTGATAGAAAAAGCTAAAGTAAACGAAGCAAGCCACAAAATCTAGTTAAACAGCTAAATAAGCATAATTCTCATTCAAAAATGAGTAAAACCCCATAGAAATTGAATAAAACAATCTAAATTTTTGTCCGATTAGAGGACTTCTCTCAAAACTTTTTGAAATATGCAGAATTTACTTAAAAACAAATCCAACAACATAACATTGTTAGAGCTGGTTTACAAAATATTTAATTGCAATAATTTGTGGTAATCCTTTTCATACAGGATGAGTATTCTTAATCTCTTTTTCCAGAAAGAACTATTTTAAAAAATTAATTGTAAAATACGTAATTATAATAAAGGAATTAGATTACATGATTGTCTTAAAGAGGAACATGGGTTGCAAATATATGTCAAGTACATGTTCACTAGTATCAGGGGATGTAGCTCAGTGGTAGAGCGTTCGCTTTGCATGTGAAAGGCCCCGGGTTCGATCCCCGGCATCTCCAATTTTTTTTCCATTTCACTACTACTGCATCTACTCCAACTTACGTTTTCATTTTTGTTTTTTATACATCAGAATCCCCATCGACACTTCACTCTCGCCTCAAGCAATTATTTGCAAATTTCCCTCTCCTTATACAGCGGTCAACACCGGTTATTACAGTCACGAAAGCAATAATATCCGAACGCATTTTCTAAATCAACAATAGCGTCACGTCGGAAAAGTAAACGCTTTCCCACAAAGCGAAGCTTTAAGTTGCATTTACCCACATTTGCGCAAAACCCGAAACCTTGAATCAACCTGTAAGAATGTGTGACGACCTAAATTTAGATTATTTCAATGAAAGTTTCAGCAAAGGCTGAAGGGTTGATAAATATCAACGTTCGGGGTAAAGTTCACATGAGCGCTAAATATAAAAGCTCTCTCTTTCTTCACATTAATTCAGTATTCATGAAACGTCGAGAAACGAAACGAATTTAAATTGAATTTCTTTACCTTTTCGCTTTTTATGGATTGTGTAATGAATGAAACAATAATTTGAGTGGGTTTTTATTAAAACTTGTTACATAAAATATATGGAAAATAATACAAAAAAACATCAAAATTCCAAGCCTTTGCCCAACCCGGCCCAATGATCGGGAACTTCCAAAAAATACCGATGCATGGCTTCAATGAATCTCTTTTGGTACTCCTCGGGAGAGACAATCGTAGGTAACTTGCCTTGCCCACCCAAAATCCCACTTTTTTTCACCATAGTTTCAAGTTTCTTATCCCACGTAAACGTTCGAATGTAATCTGAAACAGTAAAACATTGATTTCACAACATACAAAACTTTCCTCACCTATTATCCCAAGAACCAACTCTCGATTTTCCGAATCTAAACCCACCAACAACGAATAGTCCATAACCGACTGTGCTGACAAAAACTCAGTATCATTCTGAATGGCCGCTGTGAGAACGGCCTTCGAGTGGGGCAAAATGTACAAAGGAGCATCACAAGTCACTAAAAAACAACATTTGACAAGGAAAAACCCACGACAAAGTTACTTTTCAAGAGATTTTCGTCCAACAAAACGATTTCCCCTTCTTGATTATCAGGCACGACCAGTCTGTTCCTCATCGAGCCCTTCAAATCGAACTTCTGGGACACAGTTCTCTTGTAAAACAAATTCTCCATAACCAGTAGATTTGTCCTCAACGTAACATTCGAATTATTATTCTTGAAAATAATCTGATAAATCCCTACGATTTTCCCTAAAAGTGTCGGTTGCCCCGTCCCGTAGCACTTTTGCATATAAGTAAAATAATTCGGCGCTGATTCTAGGAACAACTGGACTTCAGACTTCGACATTTCCTTTAAAACAAAGCGATCGTCGGCCGTTTTGGCAAAATTCGACCCCGATTTCCCCCCTCTTGCATTCCACTGCACCGACCTCGCCAACGACCTAATATACCCCTCTTCACCAATCGGCAACACCAACGACCTCAAATTCGCAAACTTCTCAGCGAAGTAAATCCGACAGAAAAAATTACAATGCGTGTCTTGAAATTGCACTTCGATGTGCAGATTTTTCGATTTTTTCACATCTTCTGTCACTTCAACGTTTTGGGGGTTTTCGGACACAGACACGGGCGAATTGAGGTCGTTTTTGTTTCGTAGAAAGCCCAAAAGACCTGATGTTTCATCGTTTTTATCCGCATTTTGGTTCTTGCGCTTGATGACGGGACTAGGAGTTTGTTCAGTGGTTGCTTTTTTCGTTAAATCCTCGAAGGATTTTTTGTAATCGAAAGAATTCAAAGCGTATGCGATTATTGAGCTTGGTTCAGACTCGTAGACGATTATGGGGACTGAAACACCGGTCGGGAGGGTGTAGTGGTCCTGAGTATTGAATGGATTCTACAAATTAAATATTATGTAGTAGCTTACTAATGATTGAATAATTAATAATAAAGTTCACTATTTCCTTCTATTACCGCAAAAAGCAGATTGAAAAAAATGTAATTTTTAAAATAATTGTCTTATAATATACAGGGTGTATCAAAAATAAAAAACACAACCTTAAATAAACTATATACTTTGCCTATTAATGTCCTCTGAATGTTAACACTTTAAAAAAATTATATTCAAAAGTCATAGATAGTATATTCGAGTGTACAGATGTCTCAGGAAAAAGATACAACACATATTTTATTTTTTTATTAAATTTATCAAAATAAATAAAATTCTCATTTATAAAAATAAATCAAATGGAAAGAAGATTCGCAGAAAAATAAGGATTTCGTTAAACTGATGAAATAAGGCGAATTTACAACCCGATTCTGGAACGTCCTGTATAAATTAAAGGATTAAAGGATTGCATTTAAAATTTTACACATAAAATAACTTATTTTTGTGTCAAAAAAAGATTCTCATTGAAAAATAAAGCAAATCGAAAGAAACAATGATTAGAAACAAGGTTTTTGTTACACAATAAAACCAAAACGAATGAAAAAAAAAACGAATTTAAAAAAGTAAAAGCAATTTTTTTGTTAGTTTCTATTTAGAATTGTGCAGTTAAAATGATTCATTTTTTTCAAACTTTAAATGAAAAAGTTCCTTTTAAAAATAAGCCAATTTCTTTTATTAATTTTGATGTTTTCACTTTTTGTTCTTATTTTTTTTAACTAAGATTTTCACTAAAGTCATGGTCAGTTCATATGGTGAAGATTTAATTTATTGCAAAGTTGGCAGCCCCTAGCCCGCCACCTCTAGTGTGTGAGTTGTGTTTATGTTGGCAGCAGAAGTGACTAAATTATGTCAACAATTGCGACAGGCGCAGCTCATGTTATCCTTATTTAAAGTATTCTAATTCTGAAAAAGTCTTTTCAGAATTGTCATTTTTTATAAATATGTCCCTAAAAAAAACAATTAAATGTTTAAAGTCGGATTTACACAACTCAATTTTTACAAATTTTCATAGGGAAGTGGACACTATGAATTGACCGCGACTTTAAGTACTATTAAATAGAATAATCAAAAAAATCTTAAGATTATAATATTTTTTGTTTTTAAGTTTGTTTGTAGAAAGAATTTATAATCTTCTAGATGCAAACACCAAAAAAAAATGTGTTCCATTTACTATTTTTTTAACTTATTTAGCTTGTAACAAACTTTATTTTTTTAAATAGGCATGTATTTTCCTAAAAATCTTCTAAAGTTTGTAGCTATTTTTTTGGAAAGAGAATTTTACGTTTTAGTTATTCTAGTTTTTGTGAAATAATTTCTTAAAACGTTTGCTTTTGGCACAAAACTCAAATTATTAAAAAAGAGCAAAACCGACCAATAAAAGTCAAAAACATCAATACTAAAAGCTACATCAAAAATAAGTTGCTTCATAAAAAAATATTTTGTATTTTAACTCATTTTTGAGACATTTTGTATACTTCAAAAGAAGGTGTTGCAATTTTTAAATATGTATTTTTAACGTTTAAAGGAAAACAACGGACCATTTCTTTGAAACACCCTGTATACATTTTTAGTAAAAATCGAAAAAAATATTTTAGGGTGAAAACTATAGGTATCTTGGCCTGTTTGACGTTGTTCAATTTTCCGTGATTACTCAAACAACCAGTATAAAATATACAGGGTGTGTTCTTAATATTGCGAAAAATTGTAACTGCATATTCTACATCAAAAACCAACACTAATTTGTCAAATAAACGATATTCTTATAAAGCTAAGGCTTCTTATAAAGTCTCATGATTAAAATTACGAGTAAAATCCATTAATTCCTCCAAAACCACTTAAGGCTTTGTAAGCTTCTAAAAGCGCTTATTTTCCGGCAATTACTTTACTTTTACCAGTGGCGTACGCGCACGTCACTGAATATTTTTCTTTTTTTTATTAATGTTATTTTTATTTTTCGATGTAGAATATGTAACAATTTTTCGCTACACAACTTGTATAATTAAAATTACAGTAGTAGTTAATTTACTGACCGGAATTAGCGTGAGGGCACTTGACGAGGGCAAAAGTTGCGATAAGATATTCTTGACCGTTTTCTTATCAGTGTCTTTTTTACAATCATTTTGTTCTTCATTGTGCGACATTACAGTGCCATCTGACTGCGATCTGTGGTGACATTTGGGAGATGAAGAAGTGGTCAACTCACTATCGGCGTCGCTCTGATCCAAACTTTTGATTTTTTTGGTTATGGCAGCACTGTTTGGACTCTCGCTGAATGAAATATCCGTTTCTGATAATATTTTATTTTCGGGTATTGTCGGACTTTCGAGATCGCTGTAAGAAGTCCGGTCTTTCTTTTTGTCGTCTCTCTTACGTGCGCTTTCACATAACCGCAAGTTCCAGTTTTCCACCGTTTCGACAATTAAACGTTTGATTCTGATAAGAGAATCGGAAATTTTCCAATATGTGATATGCAGTTGAGTTTCCTCAAACTGTTTGCTTTCAATCGTTGGTGAGGTTAGTTTTAATTGCACTTCTTCGACTTTTTGTTTAAATTGGGTTTGTTCCTTTAGTAATAACTGTTTTAAATTCCCTAAACCTTCAAGTTCGGCGGGGATACAAGACAATTTTTCTAAAATCAAAGAATAGATTTCGTGGCCTTTTTGGGCCATTGTGCGAATTTCGTCAATCAATTCGGTTTGGTGTTTTTCTATATCATACTGTATGTAGATCACAGGTGGAGGTAGAGAAATATCCCAAACTTGAATGGGAGTATACCTTAAAAATCACAATTAATAAAATCGAATTTTTTACATAGAATTTACTTGAAAGACGCTACAGAATTTTTGTAGCCGAAATACTGGTAATGGTCGTGGTGCAAACTATGACCACAAGGAGTATTCCCTCGTCTGCTATACAACCCACCGTAAAATTTCAACTCTAGATATTTAGCAAAAGAAAAAGACCACGTGTCAGCCGACATGGGAACCACTGGTGACACACTTTGGCACTTAGTGCACCAAGTCCACATGACGATATTTTCGTCGGCAAATTCGTTTTCGAAATTGTTGAGAGAGATACTGACGCAGCCGGCATTGTGAACGAAACGTCGGATATGTTTGAACATTGGAGTATCACAAGGCTTCGATGGACAATTATAAGTCGAACGGAAACAATATCTCTCCAAGAAACAACCCAAGGGAATGTCATTCGAACCGTAGAAATTCATGTTGACGATCCTACAAAGAACACTCTTTAATTAGTATTAAATAATTCGCGATTCAAGCTAAGACTTTTGCGCCCCTAGTAATAAATTCTGAAATCCAATGCGAACGGTGGCACTTTTAAATGGGACGTGAAATCTTTGTTTTATTAAACATTGTGTCCCAAGAAGAGTTATTTCTTTAAAAAATTCGTAACTTCTAACTAGCGGTCCTAGGACGAAACGGTTTGCATAGGCAAATTCTCTGTAACTTTTTACATAATTTTTGATAAAATTGGATTTTTAATTTTTCTGGATATCCGGCGATAACTCCAGAACTATTAGTGGCAGCTCTTTCTATTTGGTGGTGATGTTACCTAATAAAAATAATATTTTTTTCGATATTGCCTTACAATGGGCGTCATTTTGTAGATTTCGCCTTAATCCAATGTTAAATTTTTAAACGGGGTTTTCTTCGAAATTATAAAACTCAAAAAGTCATTAAAAACTGCGTTAGATTACCTACCAAATGGTGTAAGAACGAAGTCGCTTCGGTTACGATTTTAGACACGAAGCTTTTTAAAGTTTTACCCTTGGAAAACTCATAACTAATGGGTTTTTTCCAATATTTCAGAAAGCCTTTTAGATAAAATTACAAAATTTGGTCCAGCTAATAACCTTTATACAGGGTGTTCGGTCCCGGCCGATAACACCTAAATTTCCTTTTTTTTTCTAAAACTAAATTTTTAAATAATACTATTCATTCCTCGCTTTCTTAGTAAATGCATCAATTTTTTTGGCACATCCGGTGTAGCCGAAAATGCTACCAAATTTAGTTTTTCAAATGGAACACCTATGTTTTTTTGCTCAAAACAATAATAATTGGTATGAAAAATATGGTAAACCACTATTTATTACATTTTACTTTACATAATGTACTCAAAAAATAATTTAAATTTTTGAATTTTATTGCAAATTTTGCAACGTAAGGGGATTTTGCTTGTCAAGGTATTCATGCAAAAAGCAATAAGCTTGGATACCGTTTAATTATCAGTTTGACAAAGCCTAATTTGTCAATAAATCTTATTGAGATTTTTAATAATGGATTATAATAATTACGACGAATTGATAGATCAGCTTGAAGTGTTTTTTAAGTCCAATGAAAATAGACGTAAGTTGAAAGACAGTATAGAGAAAAATACTCAAATAAAGTTCACCAAAATCGTTGGAAATTTAGTCGAATTGAAAAACAACTGAGACGAACAGGTTCGCTTCTTAAAACTAAAAAACCTGCGGCTTTTAGTGAAGAACAAGAAAATGGAAATCTGAATGTTCTGTTATCATTCGAAGAAAATCTAAGAGTTTTCATAAGAGAACTCGCTCATCAACTGAAAAATTATATTTGTCAAACCAACAATTTAACTGTATCCAAGCATTTTTTTCACACCGTTCCTTTAAAATTAAAAATCGGGCTATGCGACCAATTTACTTATACAATTCTAAGATTTAAGATGTTTTTTTGATTGCATTGTGTTACGCAAAATCTAATAAATAGTGGTTTATAATATTTTTCATGTCAATTATTATTGTTTGGCGGAAAAAAAACATAGTTGTTCCATTTGAAAAACTAAATTTGGTAGCATTTCCGCCAACACCAGACGTGCTAAAAAAAATTAAGAAAGCTAAGAATGAATATTATTACTTAAATATTTACTTTTTGAAAAAAAGAAGTAAGTTTAGATGTTATCAGCCGGGGCGACTTGAACCGAACACCCTGCATACCTAAACGAATTGCAAGAACAAATCCAAAAAGTCAAAAAGTCGAAATTTTTAATCAGGGGCGTCCTAAACGAGGGAGTGGAGGGTAAAAAGTACCCTAACTATTTTGCCTGTAGTTTCTTGACACTTTTAGCCACAAAAGCTTAAATTCCATAGTTTTTCACAAAAAGGGGTCTCTGCGTTGTTTCTATACAACTTACAGTTTTTAAGTAAAATCAATTTAAAATTTATGTTACAAACCATAACAACATAAAAATTTAAACATAAATTCGTTTTACTCTATACCCCTCCAGTTTAGGTCACCTCTGACTAAAAATTTCGACATTTGACCTTTGAACTTGTTTAGGTGTATACCAAATTTTGTATTTTATTTATTCTGGATGTATTGGAAAAACGCATTAAAAAAGTGCCCCTTTCAGGGGGTGTAGCTCCATTTAAAAGCTTAAATTCTGTCACATCAAAGTATAATTTCATTGAAATTTCATTCAAAATAATTAACTAATTCGACGGTTCCTTAGCTTGAATTTCGAAAAAAATTTCTTTACCTACCAAGGATTCACACAAAACGCTGGTGAATTAGTCGACTCGTGACTAAAACTACAAAATAATACTGAGAGTCTTTGGTGATTGTTGATTTCAAGAACATCGAGTTTATTGTAATAATTCTTGTCCTTGTTTTTTAAAATTTCCTCGTCGAGTTGTACCGGGGGTTTACATAAAATTTCCCGTTTCTCGTAGCTGCCGCCACAAGCACGAAAATGAGCCAATAATGACTGAATCTCATTATTATCAACACTTGTTGTAATCTTTGTAAGTAAAAATGGGTGTAGTGGCTTTACCTATAAAAAAAGGTAATAAAAAAAATTATGGCTTCTTTTCTAACGCACAGATCTCTGTTCGTTTTCTTTCCCATTCTCGGCATTATCCTTAATGACTTTGACCTTAGTCTGATTGGTAAATTGTTCACTAAAATAAATTTCCGTGGGGAAAAACTTCCTCAATTTGCATTTTTTCCCAACTTCTGTCTCCAAATACGGAACCGAAAACATCAAATACGGTGAAATACAAAGAATCGAGTCATCCAAACTTTTTCGAAAACTATTTGAAAATGGCAACTCTGCAACTGCCAACGTTTCCTTTTCTTCTGACACATTCTCAACAAATGACGACTGCAACGGATCTGTAAAATCCTCAACCGTCTCACTACTCATCTTCTTTCCTCCACTGTCATACTTCACAACAGTTGGCAACCGTGGAGAACTCTCCAAATCTTCCAAAAACTCACAATTCGGATTAGGCGGCTGCGCAAACTCATCCATTAAAAACGACTTCTCCAACCGCCAATTATAACTCGCAAACAAACAAAACGATACAACCTTCTCCAATCGCGTAAGCTCTTGTCTAGACCCGCCCCTTAGCAACACGGTCCCGCCCAAATGCACCATGGGTAAACCTTCGAAAAACATCAAGGTTTTGATTCCGCCCCTGTCCACGTTGTAAGTTTTCAAGTAGAATTTTTTACAAGTACCGAGACGAGGGCGCCCGATGTGGGCATCTACCGCTGTGACTAGATCCGCCTCTGTGCAGCGCGCTAATTGGTCCAAAACGCTCTGTTTGACGTTGTGCACCAAGGTGATGCCGTGCTGACGTAACAGATCTTGAGCCAATCGCGAGACGTTTCGGTGGACGAGGACGATGTCTGGTTGGAGGGCGACGATACGGGCGGCCACGTGACGCAAATATTCGTGTTCTTGCATCAGGACCGGCTCGAGGGACATTAAACGGCCCTCGGTGCGTTGATAGACTATTGAACATTGCAAGAGGAGGATTTTAGGATTGTCAATTTCGGTCAACATCCCTTTGTGGGCTACATTTTTCGTAAAAACGATCCCACTTATTAATTTAGTATCGCTTCTGAAACCACCTGACAATTTTTTGAATTTTATATAATGACGAATATCTAAATCTTCAGCGTCGTGGTTTTTATCAGGCCTAATCACATTTATTATCTCATTACATAAAGGAATTATCACGTCAGCCCATGACAATAACAGACCATTTGACGCTAGCAATTGTTTCAATAAACTTTGTTCGTGTTGTTGGTATGCTTCAGTTAAGAGATTATAAGCCAATTTCTCACCGTTTTCTTCGCGCAAAGATGACGCATTGTGCCAACCTAACAACAATAAAGTAGCAAATTTAATTCAAAGAAATTGGGTAAATACCAGCTTCGGGGACAAATTCTCTTTGTTCGGAAGTTCGAACCGTCGTAATGTCGGTCTCACAACAACTAACATCACCAGAATCACCCGATTGAATGCTATAACTTGAGGCTAAAGGTCGTGATAAATACACAGTATTTGCTTCAACGTTCATATCCAACATGTACGAAGACGAGGAAGTCAAAGGGCCACGTTTCTTGATCGAAACTTGTTCGTTATCAGAATCTGCAAATCATAGAGTAAATAAATGTGGAAACAATCACTTTTAAATCCCCATATTTTATTATTCTTTAAAAAAAACATTTTTTCGTTACTCAATTCTACGAAAAATGCAATTTAAGGGTTTAAGGATTGCCTAACCCGAGATGCATTTTTGAATCTTCCCTTTAGTTTAGACCAATAAGAGCGTAAAATTTTCAAATTTGGACAAACATTTGAATATTGTTTATTATTATTGAATTCAAAATCGATTCCTCTTCAAAATACGATAACTTTGTCATTTTTAAATATCCTGAAATCTTTTTTTGACATTCGAAAAATAAAAGTTAAATTGTTCCGTTAGTGTGTTCATAATTCAAAAAAAAAAAAAAAAAAAAATTAAAAACAAACAAAATGGAAAGGAAATGCCACAAACCTAGATTTAGATTTACTTGTTTATTAGTTTTTAACTTAAATTAATTTAATTTAATTGTTTTTTAACATCTTTCATTTCCATGGTCAACTGTGCGAAAACAGCTGCTTTGGCTAATAATGAATTTTCCAAAATATCAACTAAAAGTCAATATAACTTAAAAACTAGGAGTATTAAATTTGGAAATAGAACGCAATGTGTCCCCGAATGGGTGAAACGAAGATAAAAATCCTCGATTTAAATTCACTTTTTTTTAGAGTTCAGCCATGTTTAAAGACTGATTTCTAAAATAATTTTAATTTTAAAGAATCAAGTATGCATCAGTTTATTCTCACCTGAGAATAAAAGAAATAAAAGTTTGGTGCGACGGTTTATATTGTGTTTTTGATTATGACTTGGAAATTTTCAAAAAACCTATTTTCCTGTACAGTGAAAAGTGTCTTTTATGTGGCAAATACGACAAAAAGGTATTAAGTTGTTTAAAATCAACATCTAGGCCTCTCTACCAAATTTCAAAATCAGCGGTCAACTATGATTTTTCAATATTATTTGTAAAAATTTGTAAAAAAATACCTTTTTAATTTTTTTTCTAAATTTTGTGTTATTTTTTATTCATAATAATTAACTGCTAATGTAACTGAAAAATTATAGTGGGCCGATGATTTTAAAATTTGGTATAAAGGCCTAAATGTTGATTTATCGTATTTGCCACATAATTCTGCTCTACAAAAAATAGCAAAAAACAGTTTTTTGAAAATTTCGAAAACAAACGTGACTTTTCAAAACTAAAAATATGTAAGTAATTCGCCTTTAATCAAGCAGGGCTGGACCCAAAAAATAAAAATTCAAATCTACATTTTTTTTTATCTTTCAGAAGAGTCGTTTTACCTATCCAACACAACACAAACACAAAGTAGATTGGTCCAGAATTAAATTCTCCTTCATTTAATAAAAAATAATAATTTTTCCCTATTATGAATACACCAGAGAAAAGATCTCACCTTTCTCATTCAAATATACAAACACAATTTCAAAACATTTAAAAATTAAAAAATTATCGATTTTTGAATAGAAAAGTAAATCTAAAAATTTTCAAAATAATCTAAGAACATATTTGGAAAACGACTAAACTTCTACATAGAAAGGAATGACAAATATTCTAATAAAAAAACTTGAGTAATCCAATCGCAGAAGTTGATACTCACTTCCGATTAACTATACTTAGTTTGTTTTCTGTTAATTTAGACGTAAAAAATGTTTTCGAAAGACAATTAAAAATAAGCTTTTTTTAAATAAAATTGACACATATTTCCTTTTTTTTATAAAAATATATGGTAAGTTAAGTTAAGCACCTTGCGAATTAAAAACCGCGGAATTTTAACACAAAAAAATTTGAGACTAAAAAATAAACCAAATTACTCTTATTCTCAATTTTAGAATAACCGAAGTTATAGAGATTTAAAAGTGACCGTATTGGCGCTCCAAAATACCAGTGGTGCTCGATTCCTGTGGGATTTGTTGCACCCAAATGGGTTCTTCTTGATTAGGAACTTCGAAATAATTATGATTGAGAACTTCCGGTGTGACAAAACTACCAGGCTTGTAGAGGGCATAACCATCGACGAAAGAACAAGGATCTGAGACACACTCGATGTAGCCCCCTTCGAGCAACGCTTGACTTATTGCAGCCGCTTGAACCCGACTATTGGCTTTTTGTTGACAAATCAACCAATCAACTAATTCCGAGCCCAAAAAACAGTCAGTGTAAGTCCTCAAACGGTACCTGTGGGTTCCCAAGGGAATCCCAGTTGTAGTTCGACAAATTTCCTCAAAGAGAGCGCGCAACGATACCGAGTTTTGCAACGCTTTACATTTTTCTTCTGTAGTGAGATACATACTAGACTGTCTAAAAATCAAAATTAACACTTTAAAACAAAGTGGGTTGATACCCACCCCGATGCAAATTTCTCCTCCTGGTACCCCACGGATATTTTCCGGCGTAGAATATTCCCGACTTCGACCGAGTCCTTATTCAGATTTTGTATATTGTCTTGCGTTGTTGGTGAGAGGACAGCGTTGCCGAATTTGCTTTGTAAATTCTCTTGAAGAAGCTTCAAATCGGCGGTTAGGTCAGCCCCCACGTCTGACGATTGTAAATACGACAAGACAACTTTGCAACAATACGTGCAAACCCTCAAATCGCCAGTACATCCGAAAATTTTGCCGGGAATTTGCTGATTGCAGCATTGCGAGCAGAAAATTTGGCCACACACGCGGCAGTGGTGTCGGCGTCTGAACGTCGTGAATTTTTCGCAGCATTGGTAACACTCTTTGCTTACCGAATCCGGCATCCAATACTGTTTCAATTCGGTGTCTGAGTAGTCTTGAAGGTTCTGGAAACAGAGGGATAAAAGGGGCTAGTGAACGACTACCGAAAATACCGTGCTTTTTAACGCCAATAAATTACTGATTCGTTTCAGAACATTGGGGAGGCTTCGCCCCTCGTTCACGTCCACGTGAAAGGGGGTTGTAGACGAATCCGACGACGCGTCAATTGCCCATGTCGGTAAAGACTCCTGAGACATGTTATCCGAATTCGGGGTTGAACCCGAGCTTTGTTCTTCCGTATTTGGACCTTTATTAAATTTGAAAATCTTCGTGATAAACTGGCCCACAGTTTGGGGCTTTTCTTCGGTTTGAATGGGGGCGAATTCGGTCAATTTGGTGGGGGATTGCAGATTCTTGCTCATTTTGGCCACAACTCACACCGATCACATTTTAATAACAATAAATTAATAAATATTACAATTAAAAGTCAGCTGACTTGTATTTACAACCTATAAATTACAACATCTGTCAACTGTCAATTGTCTGTCACTAATGATAAAAAAATATCTATATCTGTTTTTAAGTGATAAAAATATATTGATAATAATAATAATGTGATAAATAATTATCAGTGATAATTAATTGATGAGGTTTTAATGCCAAATTGTTGTGTTTTTATGTGTCCTTGTGGTTTCCTCAAGGCCATTGCAGCAAACCTCCACGAGAGGCCGCAAGTATTGCCAGTTTCACCAACCATTCTCACATTCATTCTTTGTTTAATCGTGTGTGTTAAACAAAGATAGCATATAATAATTTGTTGGTGGAATTGTTAAAAGTGGGGCTTTGCGTCCCCCTTGAGTCTGTTCCGCAAGTGTCATTTTTGTTGTAGATGTGTCAGGTTGTGTTTTTACGTTGAGTGTTATAAATAACCGAATCGTCAACAAAGTGATGTGTTTTCAGTGTCGTGTGAAACAAGTGTGTGAATAATGACCGATTTGATCGTTTCTCGTGGTGATACTTTTCCGCGAGCCTTTTTGGACACGTATCGTGCGAGCCGGACCAGTGAGCAATTGTACAATGACTTAAAATCGAGCAAAAGCGACGAATTAGTTCTGCAAAATCCGGCCGACATTCCGATTGCACCGGAAATCCATCATGGGCACTCGGAGAATCTGTTGGATGCGTCTGGGTGTTTGTCTCCGACTGAGAATGACTTCTTGGAGTCTCCGGAGATGATCTTGAGGAGTAACAGGAGGAAGGTCAGGCCGGATTACGACAGGGTTGATCCAGAAGATAGTATCAGGGATATCGTCACAGGAAATGATTTTTACAGGTATTGTTTACTTGACATTATTATCCAATTTATCTTCGCCAGAGATTGATGATGGCTTAATAAGTCCATTAATGTGGATTATGCAATAAATAAAAAATGAATGCCATGGTTTTGTTCTCCACAACATGCAAAATGTGATACTTTTTAACACATCAAACTTTTCAAAACAAGTTGTGAAAAGTAACATTTCTGGCAAATTTTGAGTTATCACAACCACCCCTAAAACTCACTTATTTCTGGTATAAATAACGTTTCCCTCCCTGTATGACAAAAGCTTTAGAAATAGGGTGGTGTTGGCTTTCTTGATAATGATAAATGTTGACTAAATTTGATTAATTTTGCTAGTAATTTTCTAGAATTAAGATGCAGGAATATGTTGATTAAATGAACAATGAGAGTTTTTAATTGATGTTTTCTTGTATTTTTCTTATAATTGTATTTAAATCAGTGTGTTTTGTTATAAACAAATGGGAAATCTGGGACACGTAAAAATGTCTAAATAATAGTTAATTTTTTATCACCTGTAATACCACCAAGGTCGATGAATACATCTTGTAGTAACTTTAAATTTAATTTGGTTTTTCCTCATGTTTGGAAAGCGAAATATTGATCGTAAACGGCGGCAGATGTGCCTCTGATTTTGCTGAGATTTGTGAAAAATAGGTTCTTTAATAAATCAGGTCTAAGAACTCTAAGACACAAAATTATCTTTTTGTTCTGTCAGAGACAGCAGTGAGGTTTGCTGAAGAATTATGAAAATCTCTTTGATTTCTTTTGAAGAAATATCTGTGTCGGTTCCAGTTGATTGAACTTTGTAGATCGTCTTAAAAAACTTGGAAACCTATTTCCAACATTGATTAAATCTACTACTAACTGAGCTAGACGTAGAAACTATGTTTTTCATACAGTTTATTATTATATCACATAAAACCTAATCATTTACAGAGAAATTAGTTTTTTTATCAATTCTTATCTTGTTTTCTGTCAATCTCTTTTTAAAGATTTTTCCTTCAAGTAAATTGATTCTCTGAAATTCGTTCAACAAGGTGTTTTAATTTCCGTGTTAGATAACTTATCAGCTCGTAGCGTTACATAATAAAGCTCGGTGTAATTTATCATCCAGACTCGTCAGTTTTTAGAACGCATAAAATTTTTCTTAAAATATGCATCACTGATTCATTTAAGGATTCACTTGTCAAGTGTGACTGATTTTAAATACCTAATCATAGCATTTTGTAATTGATACTTCAGTCCGATTTGAAGACTATACGACTTCCTTATGGCAAGTTCATCCGGGTGAAATTTCATTTCACCGTAAAACAATTTTTTTTTTGGAACAAAACACGTTTTTAATGAATTTTGAACAAATACATAGATCCTTTATAAATAAGAATGTTTGCATCCCACAATGAGCAAAAATTAGTTTCTACATTTAAAAGTCTAACAATACCCTAATGATTCATTATTTCCTGTACATAACTTGATCAAATGGATATAGTTATTGTTTCATTTTTATTTTTAATTGTGACATGTGTATACATGCTTAATTTTCCAGACAAGTTTGTGCATGACATTATTATCTTTTTTAATTTTGGTTTCATGATAGTCATTCATGTATCAAGGGAATAAACAACTGTTTTAATCCCGAAAATGTAGGTAATGCCAGGGGCGACCGAAGAGAGCCGAGGGCATTTTCATTTGAGGGATTAACAATGTTCATTCCAGAGATACGTGTAAAACTTTCCTCTCAACAGACTAAATTAATAAGAAAATGATAAATTTGTCAAAATATTCAGTTTATTCAATTGCAATTCTAAAAATAAAAATATTTTACATATTTTATTGTCGAGTGAATAAAGTACCAGATTGTTAGTCAAAAACAAGGGAATAAAGCTGTTGAGAGCAAATTATGTTTTAATAATGAGATTGATTTTGTCATATGATTAAATAATTGTGCCAGCGAAGTGGACTTAATTAAGAAATAAAATTCGAGTCTTTGCTTGATTCAAGTTTTCCAGTTTTTGAATTGTTTTCTAAAAGTACGTCTTTTGGTTCCAGTACCTAACAAAATTTGAGATAGACAAATGGTGACATTTCCAATTTCTTGAATCAAGGTAAAGACTCAAGTTTAATTTGTTAAAGTCGACTTCTATGAAACATTTGTTTAATCATATTTCAGATTATAAAAACTGGAAAAAAGGGAAATTTTATTTTATGAGAACATACATGGTGAAGAAAAAGCCCAAAACCTAGCGTTTTTTTTTAAACATTTGTCTTCAATACTCGTATAAAAAATGTGATCGTGTTTTGAAAATGAAATTTTGTTTTGTTTTTGAGTTGTTTTTCTTCAAAATAGCAACTTAAATGGAATTTTTTTCTACAAAAAGTGAATAAAATGTAGAAACTTGTAATCGTCAGATCATGCCTTTGTAAGAAAACAGTTGTATAGTGAAAAAGATTAAAAATTTTCTCGAAATTTTTGGAACTCAAAACAAAAAAAAATCTTGAAATTTTATTCTTGAGAAACTCTACATTTTTATAGTAGTTTATCATTCATAAATTATTTTTTTTTTTAAATAAATAGGCAAAAAACGTTTAGTTCCATACTCTGTTCACCTGGTAAGAACATATAAAATAAAAAAAATCTGATCTTATACAGTTTGTGAAATATTCTAACAATTTGGATGTACATTTCTAGACTGTAGAATTCTAAAATTCATAATTCTTAAACCTATAATTGTAGAAAAAATTAAAAATGATAGATTTTCAGGATTCTGCTTTTTTAGAATTCTCTTAATTATTGTTTAATGCGATTTGTGTTTGTTTTTTTATAGTTGAAGTTTAAGAAACATTTTTAAATCTTAGTTTTTATTTAGTTTAGTTACAAGTTGTTTTATTTTTAAATTAATTTTTTTGTAATTTAATTTCTAACAATCTAAATTCAAACGTTCCTAAATCTAATTGCACTGCTAAAGGCCTAGGGCAAGAAATTTTAACTTCCACCATTAAAAAAATATGTTAGATATTTCGTCGTAGTAAATTTTACAGCAAGGTGAGAGATTGTATGTAAAATATCAGAACAGAAATGACGACATACGAGTATCTATCGAATGCACATGACGTAAGCCTGTATTTTTAACGAAGAAAAACATTGATTTTACAAAAAAGTAAACCAAATGCTGTGAAACTGTGACATGTTATATCACGGAAGTTAATTATTTATCGACATTCCCAATGTTCTGTTATTAGAAGTTCTCTAGGAAGTGTTTTGTTTCCAGATTCGTGCTTTTCAAAAAACACTACGATAAGTATGTCCACCTGTCGCAAAAGTACGAAGAAGCCAGGAACATCGCCTATTATCTTGAGGAGAAATACCATGAAGTCAAGGTAAGTCGGTTTTAAAATATTTCAAGGTCTTTACGATTTTTTTGGATTTTATTTCAGATGGAAAGGGATGATCTCATACAACAGAGAGACATGCTGAGCAAAAGACTGGAATCGAACGAAAGTTTATTGAGGGAGAAAGAAGACGAGGTTTTTCTTCAGTTTGAACGAGTGGTTTATTTGGAGGAACAGTGCGATAAGGTAGATGAGAAGGGGAAGAATTATTTGTGTTCGTAGCACTTTTCCAATTAATTATTTAATAGTTGGCATTAGAATTTCAACATAATAGCAAACTTTCACTGCTTGCCCATTATAAAGCGGATTTTTTAACGTTTTGATCGATCTCTTCCCGTGTCCAACGGATACTTCCTTATTGCGAATGACACGAACTTTGATATCGAAACTTTCTTCGGACTCGTTTTATTATTAGGTGTGATTTTGCATTGACGTTAGGAATTTTTGTTAGCATTTTTTAGAATTCGAATCAAGTTGTGCCACCATGACCTTGTGGCTATGCTATCTACTAAAAACGAGTTTAAATACCTCCGGAGGATTTGTTTCATAACGTTATTGGTAAACATTGCATTTACATAAATTCGCCCGAGGGATTTTTATCCCAAGTGAAAAAAGTTTTTGCATTATTTATGAATTTAGCAATTTTAATTAAATTGTCGATTTCGGCAAACTCTCGTCAAGTCGAAGAAGTCGGTGAAATTTTTTAATAGTGATTTTAATGAATGATAATGATTTTAATGAACATCCATTTGGGTAGAACCTTTCCTAATAATAAACGGGTGTTTTAAAAAATCGCCACTTTCATTTTCGTCTCAACTTTTGCTAACAGTTTTTCTCTTCAGCTGAAAGCAGAAAAAGAAAAATTCCATCAGCAAAAACTGGCAATCGAAAAGGAGAAAGAAGCCGCCTACAGATTAGTAAGTCGTACGATTACTCAAATGAATGAATTAACAATTTTTTTGAACAACAGCTGACAGAACAGGCCCGCGAATCAGAACATACACGTCGGAAACTGGAAAGGGCGCGTCAGGAAGTATTTCATCACATGACAAGAATGAAATATGAAAAAGAAAGCTTGGAAAGAGAGGTAAAAGAGTAATTAAATGATTTTTGTTAATGCGTGCTTTCACTGTCTTGTCATCGTCGACAGAACGATCAACTGAAAGAGGCCTTAGAAGCGGAACGCAAAGGTATGAGGAAGTATCTAAACCAGATGCATCAAAGGAAAAAACAAGTGGACAGTCTGGAAGGACAGGTAAAAAAACACCAATTTCACAATAATTATCCGACACGAGAATATGCAGTTACATAAACGACGCGTTAATAAGGGCAAGGCTGGAAGCAGGTCACACTATTAAGATGCGATTCTTTGCTTTCACCGGATTGTTCTATGAAACATTTCTGGGGCATTTCTGTTTTGGTAATCTGTTACATCCTGAATTTTTTTACTAAATGAAAAGTTTTCGGTGTAGCGTGACTCCCGGTTTTTACTATACAGGTTTGTGGTCTGATCAAGAGTGTTTTCTCTGCTTAGTCCGGCCATCATATAAAAAACAAACAATATTCTCGCACCAATTTTTTGGGTTGGATTTTAACTAATTCAAAATGTAAAGATTAAAACTGGTTTAGATTTTATGTAAAATATACATATCTCTTAGTTTTTACTGACGAAACTTGTGTCTTTATTTAAAAAAAAAAAAAAACATAGATGGCTTTGTTAGTGAAAGTTAAGTTGACAACACTGAATAATTAAGAGGCAATTGTAACAAAAAAGTATATTGGCCACACTGGATTATTGATATTATTGACTAACTGTGATGTTTGTATTTGATTGCCAATGTTGCCAAATTAGGATTTCACTTGATGAAAAAAATTATCATGATTATTCATGATATACAGCACAGCCTCTTTGATAAATAGAGAACTTCGTTTTCGTATGACCGTTTGCGACATGAAGCTTCGAAACTTTTTAAAAAATAGAGGGCGTTACATTATATTATATCATCATGCGATGATATATTCAAATTACTAACTTCACTTTGCGTCATTAGTGTCACTACTGTCACAACGGTTAATTCGACATTTACAATTTAATGTCACAGCTTCCTATCTTATTATAATTTTAAACCGTAGTTAATCAAAAACTCGTAAGGTGTCGCCCTATTTAGTGCGCGGTTTGATTTTGCAGCTTATCCAAAAAAAAATCCTGTCTGGACCGGCCATTTAAAAACGAAGTACTCTATCCATCAAAGAGGTTAGGTTTTACAGTCACAAAAAATGTTATCAACTTAATTTAATTTTTAAGTGATAGAAATGAATGAGAATTTTGACCGACGAGTGTGCTTGCGCACGAGTGGAACACTTCTCACGAGTTTCATAATGGCATTTCGATCACGTGTGATATACGACGTTTTATCTTACAGGTGCAACTATCCAAAAAATGAAGTTTCATTCAAGTAAAATATTCACCTATAAAAATATAATAGTAAATATAATAGAAAAAAATAATATAATAGTCAAATTTACTCACTTGTGAGTGCTTTATCTCACTTGTGAATAATATTTGATTTCTATCACCGAAATGGTCTAAGGTACCTCAAAAACTCAACCTGTAAGGTAAAATTCCTTAAATATATTTTCATAATTTAATTGAAAATTTCTTGTACAAAATATTATAATGATTATGAGATAATAAAATGCTTTTGGGAGTTGGGATAAGGAATATATATTTTTCTTCAGATGTAATAAAGTTGATGGAAAAATATAATGTTATATGCTGTAAATGACTGTAATTTTTTACCTCAACTTGGTGGCAAATTTTAGTTTGGCAACCTTGACTTTCAAATTCAAACGTCAAACTTTTATAGGTAGTTGTCATTCATTTGCGATAGTCAACTGCTGATTTAGCCATCACCTGAAAAATTTTGACATAACAAAATAGAAGGATTACCAATAATTCAATGTTGCCAATACATTTTTGTCACAAACATTAGAAATCACCCGGTATAAAAATTAACACAAAAACAAAATAAATGTTGGATGAAAAAGCTTATAAGCTTATTTGGTTTAGAACAAAAAACTAAAACTGAATCAAATTGATTACAAATGAATGACAGTAGAGAAAGAAGATTTAAATAATGCAATAAGAAATGAAACAAGAGGGACACAAATATAAATTGTACGGCTCCAAAAGAAATAAAACTCTATTATTAATTAACATTTCAATTAAAATAAATTTCATGTTTAATCGTTGTTAATTATTGTAGGCATTTAGGAATTTAATATTTTCCTGATTTCATTACTTTTAAAAAATTTGTGGCGAAAGTTTACACATATTTTTGTACAGAAACAGTTAAAAAATATAATCTTTGTCAATCTTTTGATAACTAAAATCATGCAAAATATTTGTGTCAGTAATGAAAAAATATTTGCGCTTTTATTTGTTTAATAGTCAAATAACTAGAAAAAATGTCAAAAACAAAATTGTCAACGGAAGTAGTGAATACAATTTTTTTCCAAAAATACTGTTCAGTGATTTATTTATTAGTCATCAGACGCGTTTCGTCATTTTTAATTTCTCATTACTCATCTGTGAACCAGGTTAAAATTCAAAGTCGGTGCTAGAATTGAAATTGGATTGTTAACATTGTTTTCCACACTAGGGAGCCGTTATGTCGTGAATATTAAAATGTTATGTGGTTGCGTTCTGTGATAGACAACCTTTGAATTATTAATGTTTAGTCTAAAAATTTGAATCGAAATACCTAAAAACGTGTAACCTACAAATACCGTGGAAAAGCAAGTCGTGATCTGCCAAGTCAGTGTTTAGTTTTTAAAAAAATATAAATAATAAAAAAAGTGTGCCAACCAATTTTTTCTCTCGTTTATTTATTCCGTCTTTCACCTTGTTTCCAAGCCACCCACACCAATTTCCATTTCTCACCGACCTTGCGTGTAAATGAATAATGATCACTGTCATAAACATGCAATTATATTTTTTTTCCACAGCTCACGGATCGTCAGAACACGCCGTTGGCTTCCCAATACCAAAAGGCCCTCCAACATCTCGCCACGTGTAAGAAATGTTCGGTCTGCTCTTACGCTAAAACGACATACAGGAAGAACAGTCGCAAATACGAGTAAATAAATATGAAAGCTTGCGAATTGAGTCGATTTTAAAAATTAATTTTGCAGTCGCAAGCTTTTGGGTTGTCTCCAAACGCCCTTTATGGAAATGCGCAACATGATAAAGCCGCCTCCTTCGCCCATCCACGGCGAAGGCGAGAGTCTCTCCGAGTGGTTTTGCCATCTCAACACCCCCAATCCTAGCGAATGTTCCTCGTTGAGTGTCCCATTTGCGGAGTTGGCGATCACGTACATGGACGACACGTCGGATACGTCGTCGCAGTGTCTCCGAGACCACGACGTGGACGATTCGTCGAGTCAAGCGGCTTGTAATAGCGGCAAAGGTAAATAAAATTAATAATCCACCAAAAGTCGGGATCGATAAATAGTGACCTTCATTCGGTCTCACATTTTTTGTTCATTTTGTTGCAGGTTTCGGAAGCGATTCAGGTTTTTCATCCGATATTTGCGGCGATTTTAAAAGTAACGCAACAACGCCAAAAGAGAAGTTTAGTCCGAACGGAACTTTGGACGAAGCGGACTGTGCCAAATTAACTCGTACAAGATGGACCGCGTCGTTTAGGAAGTTAATCAATCGTATTAGAAAGTAGACTGATTTTAAAAAAAGCACAAATTGACAACAATAGTAGGTGTTGATGGATTATAAGACTTGAGCTGATCGAATATCAAATGTTTTTTCGAAATTTATTATACTACAATCACGTTTGTGTCTAATTAAATACGTATCTCCTGTTTTTTCATGTAACAGATTTTCGTAGGGGAATTATATAATACTCCGCCCGTAGGCTCCGACATTTTATAGTTAATGTTAAAAGTGAATGTTAAAAATATATACAAAGTGAAACACCTATTTCTACTTTGTTAGAAAATGAAATGATTTTAAAAATTTGTTAAACCAAATTGAGTATTGCGTGCTACTTTAAAGTATTAAAGTGTTTGTTCTTGCCTTTTTACATATTGATTGAAAATTTAAATGTTTTTAAGTGCCGTCCAAGTATTTTTAAAGCAGTTTATGATCTTAAGAATTACTTTTTTGTTTAATTGGTGGCAGTCTTTTAGTTTTAATGACTATTTATTTCAACCATTCCAATATTACATAAGTTGTAGAAATTTATTAAGTGTGAACTTATTACTGCATCTAACGTTTTTCTGATGCAGATTGGCAGCATTTGTGATAAAATAAAAGAATTTGTCTGAAAAAAAGTTTTCTTACCTTTCCTAAAAAAAGACTTAAACAGGCCATGATAAAAAATCTATGAAGCTTTGATTGGTTTTATTTAGTCAAAATACGCATGCGCCAATATTGACATTTGAGAAAAATTGGGATTTCTCAAATTTTGTTAATTTTTCCATCTTACAAACAACAAATACTAACTAAAAATGTCTGCGTGGCGAGCGGCTGGTCTCAAGTAAGTATTTACAACCATTTTGCACAAATTTCGTTGCTATTTGACGAGTTATAAGAGTGAGGTTATGTTCAGGGGGCCCTTGTTACATAATTCTTTTTTGTAGCTACATCAACTTCTCTAACATTGCTGCTAAATTATTGAGAAGAGCCTTGAAACCCGAATTTCGGGCAGAAGCTGCCAAAAGAGACGAAACCCACATTAGGATCACCAAATGGGCGGATGGCAAACCCATCAGTGAGTATTTCATTTAATTATTTTGAAACGAATTTTAATTTCAATCGCCATTTGTTTAGATGCCCGCGATTAAATACGTGTAAGTGGCGTGTGGTTTTGAAAAAAATAACTCTTAACTTTGGTTTTATAAACTAATGATGATTAACAACTTATTCTTTTTTTTATTAATATGTTACAAGGGTTTACGTATTATTAATACAAATTTTGCACTTTTCAGGACAGGAATCCTCGGCTTAAATTAATTTGCAAGGGGACTATTAATTATTAGAAAAAAATGTAAAAGTTTTTCCGTCATTTATTAACACCTATGTTGTAAAAATATAAAAAATAAATAGATTATTGTCATTATTTTGACACCCTCAACTTTCGCCCCATTTCCTTTCATAACATAAATGTAAAATCTTCATAGATTTTTGGGAAGTCCATTTTCGCCCAATAAGTGATCAGAAGCCTCTGATAAAATTTTAGGCCCGTCGCCGATTTTTGTATGAATTACATATTTAAGCTTCCCTGGTGTTTGGGGCTGTATTTTTAGTGTTTCTCTCAAATCGCTTAAATTTTTTACTTTCACTGGAAGCCCTCTAATAAAATCACTCGGATTTATATTACTCGGAAAAATATCATTGATTAAAGACACTATTTCATCAACATCGTTTTCTAATAAATATAAGCAGGCGTTAGGACCCGCATCAAACGTGTAAGCGACCTGAAAAAAATCAGTAATGAAAAAATACAAAACCTGTGCAAAATTACTTTTGTGGTCCCCTGAAATTCATTATAGGCATGCACCAACTCGATAATCGCTCTTGACACATCATTCATGTAAAAACAAGGTGGAAAAGTGTCTAAACAGATCGCATGGAACTGATTCGAATCCTGCATTGTTATCTTTGCAAAAGCTTCAAAATTCTTCATTTTAATAGCTCTAATAATTTCGTCCACTCTCCCAGGAACAATTTTCTCGGTTCTATGTTTTAACAAATCGGAAGTCAGGACACTCTGTTTCATGCCATTAGTCGAGCTGTATTTCTTTTGGTCATCACTGACCACGAGTATCAAAACACGTATTTCCGGCCAATGCGCAGCCGGTGCGATTTGGCCCGCCATCGAGTCTTCGCCCCCGGGTTTCACCCCCTTGTTCCATCTAACAAACCCTCCGTAAATACTGCGACAAGCGCTCCCTGAGCCCCGGCGTGCAATTGCCGAAATGTCGCCCTCAACCCCATACAAAGCCGCAAGAGTTGAAACTAAGGCTGCATAACCCGCTGCTGAAGAGGCCAAACCAGCAGCCGTTGGGAAGTTGTTTTCGGAGCAAATGTGGAGTTTCCAGTTGAGTAAATCACCGCATTCGGGGCTAGCACGTTTTCGCACTGAAATGGATTATTTTGGGATGCCATTTGCATTGGTTGAAAAGGATGCTCACCTTCGGTTAAACAGTTATTTAACCTTTCGTTGTTAAAATCTGTTTCTTTGTTGTTTAGCCAAAAGCGGTGGGTTGTGAAAGTCGGGCTTGCCATTATTGTTGTTTTGGCACACATCTATTTTTTTTTATAAAATCGCAACAAGAATATTTTTTTATTTTACTTACAAAATCGGTCGAGAGGGTACAACTTAAGGAATCGTTTATTGGAAGAATTAGGTCCTCATCTCGTTTACCCCCTAAAATTATAGTTTTTTTTTTTTTCAATTAAGAATAGTTTGTAATGAATGAGGACTTACAATATTTGATAACAGCGATATTTACAGGTGCTATTCCGGTAATAGTCTTCATTCTTGCACAATAACACAATTTAAGTATTATTATTATTTAAGTATTTATTTAAAATAAAATTAAATTGTCTAACAACACAATTTTTAACGACAATAATTGATTTTTCTTATGAATGGAAAAATATGTATAAACTACGGATTCTTAATCGTTGAATTAACGCAACAGTCTACCGTTAAATACATAAACAAAAGTAGCACACTTCTGGCAATATAACTATTAAAACTGTTATAAACTTATTATAAACAGTTCCGGAAGTATACCTGTCGTACCAGCAGTACACAAAATGAGTGAAATTGGTGAAATCAGCTGGTAACTTCTGTTTTGTTGGTTGCCTACCTTTTTGTTAACTTCTATAATCATAGGCGTCTCGTCAATAAGAAAAGAAAATATTATTTTGTATAATTTATGAATTTTTATTTATAATTAAATGGCATTTGTGTCATTTACGTTAGTAGATTAGGATGAGGCAAGTTTTACCACTCAGCAGTATTTGAAGATTTATTTGATATAATACCAGAATTTTAATAACTAAGTAGATTATTTATTATTATTTGACTAGGCAAAAGAAGAATTTTTTGAAAAATAATTTCCACAACCTTTACACTCCACAGGTTTAGACCTGCAGTCAGGCAAGATTCACCATTACGGATACATATTGCTATCAAGTTTGTTATGTTGTTGATGAGTTGTTTGAAATGAAATTAATGTAAAAAAACTCTTAAATTCTCCAATATGTCACTGCAAATCTTCCACCTTAATGAATTATTGTTAGTTAAGTTATTGTTATTAATGTTATTAAAATGAATTTTGTTAATACTGAAAAATAACGGGTATTTTTTTATATTTGCCGTCAAAGCTAACCATAAAAGTTTGAACCATCGTGTTGAAATTATTTCCACCTCGCCGGGCCTATTAAAAATTTTGGTGCGTTCACAACACACTCATAGTCAGCGCCTACTGACGCCAAATTAAAAAAAAAACACCTATTATTTTATGTTAGTTTTTTACAAGATCATTGCTCATGACGTAAGTTGACTAATAAAAATTTTAATTTATTTTTCCACAGTTGTGAAAAAGTTGAAGTTTACATACACATCGAAATTAATATACGAAAAGTGAGCCATTTTTTGTTAAGGGTGCGAAATTTACAACTGTGTATGAAGTACTCATTTCACACACTGGTGCATTTCATGCAACTAAAGTAAAATTTCTTAAGTATTTTTATCATTTTGTAGAAAAAACATTCCTTATATTATTTGTGCGAAACTGTTTTCTTACACCCAAATGCCTTCGGTCTTGACAAAAACCACATATTCTCGTTTTGCACACTTAATATAAATAAAAAAATAATTAAAAAGCTTAGAGAACTTTGATTTTTATGTTTTTTTTTTCGTTTAAAAAGTTTCCTTGAATCTAAATTTGTCACTAACGTTCAGTTGTATACAAAAATATCTATCGGTAAAAATATAGTTTTGATTCTTTGTAGTGGTTTGAAAAAAATATTTGCTTTTTGACATATTTTTGTAGCTTTTTTAAAATCTTAACAAGTGTTTAAAACATGAAATAACTTGCCTCACTCTGTATATGTAAATATTTAATGTCCATTTTATTAATATGTGTTATTATTTTATTATGCAAATACACCTGCTACAAAAACAATTATCACATCTGCTCTAGAAATATAAATACCTCTACTACAACAAATTCAAATAAACTGTGAGAAAAACTGCAGAACAAACGCTTTGTTTCTTTTAATAAAGTTCAGCGCCTTCACGTTTTGCATTTGATTTCTCTTTAATAATGAATAATGATTTTTTTTTTGCTTTTTTTTGCTTAGTTTTTAAATTTTCATAAGATGTAACGTATCATTTATTGAGAATTTAGATGTATCATCACAAAATCACAGTTTTCGTAAACTAAAAATGACTAATTTTATTACTTAATACAAAAAAAAATGGTAAAAAATTTAATATTTTCATGCAAAAATGCAGTTGCATTCATTCAACAACGTGAACCAAAGATCATAATTCAAGGCCGTATTTTTTTTCTTTGATATCACTTTCACACTATCAAACACAAAGAGAATCTATGCATCCACACGAGATGATTTACAGCCCCCACCAGACCGAGCCATATTAGTCATGCACGCCAATGGCAAACTGTACACAAATAACTCGTGCTACAAAATTGTTTACTCTATCTCACTTGTTTGTGTCTAAAGTAATGAATTCGAGAGAGATAAAACTGCAGGTGTGAAGTGGATTTAGTACTATTGCAAGTGATTATGCGTCATAAAAACAGAATTCCTTCAGTTGATCGTCCACCAGCGTTGGCAGCAGCCACAGTGATAGTGTCCCAACCCGAAAAATGCCTTTTTGTTGATTTAATAATAATAATATTAGTCGTGTCGTGACATTCAGTGATTCGTTTATTGCCTTCCATAATTAGTGATAATGATAAGGATATGTCGTTTCGTGCGATGAAACAGGTAAAATCGTATTCACTTCACTGCTTTAATCTTGCTGAATCCATAATTTGTAGAGTCACAAGTTGAGGAAAAATGAGCCATCCGGTACCAGCCCCCAGGTCGAACCCCCCCGACGTCAAAAAGCCCGTCCCCACGCCACGCAAAAGCACAAAACAAAAACCTGAACCCCTTGAAGAGCACACCAACACCTTCTCCAGAAGAGTGCGTTCTTTGAGCAATGCTTCACGGCAAATCGCTGAAGATATCGGCGAGTTGGTCCAAGACAAGAAGAAAGCTGTGATTGCAGGAACAAGACAGAGTGTCCGCAGAATCACCAAGCGTTTCAATTCGTACCACTCGGAGTCTCCACAGGTAAAGTGGTCTGTGATTTTTAAATTAAGTTGGCGACACTCATGTTTTTCAATATTGCCAACTTAAGACAAATTGTGAATTTAGGACCCGGAGCCTGCAGAGGACGACTTTGGGGACACTCTCGACATTTTCAACTCGATCAGTTTCCAGTCGCCGCTGAGTTCGACTTCCGCCATTTACAACAATGTGGAGGAGGAGTTCAACGCGCCGCCTCCGACGCATCCGCCGCCACCGCTGCCCCAGGAGTGCATTTACGACGCCCCGGCGTCCATTTCTGGGGGCAGTACGAGCAATTCGGAACAGTCGAATCTAGGAGGTTATCCCTCGAATTACGAAAGTGTTTTTCCGGTTTATTCGAACAGTGATTCGGACTTGTCCAGGTCCGGCTCTTGGAGATTCTACGATCCGGTCAATAAAGTCGAGAATATTTACAATGATTTGGACGCGGTGGGTCAGAGGATTGAATGCGATGTTAATTCGAATGTGAGCGAATTTTCCACGGAAGTACGAAATTCGTTGTATGAAAATCACACAATTGCGGCGAGAGTACAAGCAGAGAAGAAATGTCGAGAGAGTGTTATAATGCAGTTTGATCCACTGAGAACTGGTAATTCTGCTGGTGGTGAGTTTTTTCTTAATAGTATTTTTCCAATTACGACGTTCTCACGTTTTAAACGTATTTGCAATTCGTATCGCACGTTTTAAAAATAATGAATAAATGCCACGATTCTTTGTAAATAAGTTTATCAGTGAGTCATAGCTTGTGTTGATAAAATTTTGGGTGATATTTATGATTCCAAGTTTATTTATTTTACGTAGCCAGTGGGTTTTAATCTCTGTCAAATCTATCGGTTGCGATATCTTAAATCAAAAAACGTGATAAGAGATAATTTTATTTGTTTAAAACATTTATGTTATTTTGAAAGTAAATAAATAGTAGGTTTATGCATTTTACTATTTTAAAAACATTTGTTTAACTCACTAACAAAAATTAGCTTGCTGCAACTCAGAAAAAAATTAAATCACTCTATACACTCTTAGAAAAAATCGATTATGAGAAAATTATCAAAACATGTTTTACAAAATTGGCGTTTAAAGGCTCAAAAAAGTCTAGCAGTTTTTTGATCGAGGTAAATAATTACGAATAACTTAAATAATAACAATAAGAGGAAACTGCCTGTAATCGATCAGTTTTTTATTATATTCTTATTTCATTTTTATTATTACTATTATTTTCTTCAAAAATTGTTTATTGTATTTTGTTTTGTTTTTTAAAAGCCGACAAATGCGGTCATAAAATGGCCTTTATGGCGCAGACTAATCAATATCCTATCCTATAGAATATAGTGCTAGTATCACTAGCACAATTGCCGGTTAAAATTCGAAAATGTATTGAAGAGGCAGAAAAAATCGCAAAAGCACGACTTAATGCACTAATCAATTTGTCCCTTTATTGAAGTATTAAACTGCACAATCAAAAATAAATTTCTATTTTTGATATTTTTGAAACAGATAATATTGCTTTTGATGATTTATACTTGTGGTTAAAGTTACTTATTTCTGTCTCACGCTGTATGAATAATAGTGGGTAATGACTTAATGAGTAATAGTAGTGATGGTTATTTTTTTACAGACAGTGTATCCTCGGATAGGTGAAACGACTTTTGTAAAAGATAAAAAAAAATAGATTTAAATTTTTTTTGGGGCTTAGCCCTGTTTGGTTAAAGACTATTTATTAACATAATTTTTGTTTTGAAAAATTAAGTCCGCCTTGGGAATTTTTAAGAAAAAAAAAAGTTTTAGGATATTGAATTGGTAACTAGCGTTTACATAAAAGTTACAAACGAGTCCCATAGATAAAATTTACCAGCCGGTAGCCTAACTACGGGACTCGTTTGTAACTATGTAAACCAAGGAGGTTAAATGGACTAACCTCCTTGATGTAAACGCTAGTTAAATTTTTGTTTTCATGATTTTTTTTTAAATTTGAAAGTGATCGTTGCAGTAGCATTTTTATGGCCTTGCCAAACATACTGTAAAGTATTGACGCGGCCATAAAAATGTTACTACCGGTCTAATATGTGGCAAATACGGCAAAAAGTCATTAAGAAAAGTTATTTGGAATCAACATCTAGGCTACTATACCAGATTTCAAAATCATTGGCTAACTATGATTTTTCATTTTTTTATGTTTATTTTACAAATCAAAGAATTTTATCTATAACAGTTCTTTCATTATGAATGAAAAAAATTCATAAAATTTACAAAAAATGTTAAGTAAAATTTTTCAAATTAAAAAAAAAATGAAAAACCATTGTTGCCCGATGATTTTAAAATTTGGTACAAGAGCCTAAATATAGATTCTAACTAAGTTTTCTTAATAACATTTTGTCGTATTTGCCACATAAAAGGCACTTTACAGAATAAAAGGTTTTTTTGAAAATTTCAAAGAAATACTTGATTTTTTAAGACTAAGATTATATTAGAAGTTAGTCTTTAACCGAGCAGGGCTGAATCCCAAAAAACGAAAATTTTATATCTTTTACAGAGTCGTTTCACCTATCCGGGGAGACACGGTATAAGATATTTTTTTTTATTCATTTTTGAATGTGAGGCTCACTCGTATTATCTGTCTTTAATCAGTAAAAATACCATCGTTATCATTCGATAGTTGCGTCCAGTTATCGGTTTGCAACAAATGCATTTTGAGTTTTTCAGGATTGCATGTTACGTAAATCAACAAACGAGCGAAATCCGCTGCATCCATTACACCGTAAACGAAAAGATTAAGTAATTTTCTTTTCATTATTATATTTATTATTGTAATTTTGTATATCTTTTACTGGAACGTTATTTTATTGCGTTGTAACGAAATACAAATTGAGTAACTGTAACACGAACTTTGTTTTCATTACTACTATCGACAAAGAACATGATTCACACACTAAACATCAAATTAAATTAGGACTTGAACAGCTGAATCTTCTTTTTTCTTGAGTAATTTCCGTTCTTGTTATCTTGTCTTTTCTGAGAAAATTGCATTTTTAAATAATAATAATAATAATAGTGCAATGTTCTGATGTTTTGCGTCGTTGCATTTCGTACAACCCACTCAGATTTCTCTGCAGCCGAAATTAATTCAATTGGTTAATAACAATCAAGTGTGAATACATCCAATCATTAATAAATGAAAGTTCATTGAATCTTTTGTTTGTCCTGTATACAAGAGACAAGATAAAAAAAAATGGAAACTAGCGTAGATAAATATTTGCACTATTGTTACAGCAGTTGGTCTAGTTTACCAAAAAGCATTTTTTTTTTATAGAAAATGTGTGTTTCCCCCAATCCGTTCTTCCGTCCGAAGACATTAAAATGCTCGAGGAGTACTTCCAAGGCGACCTCTACGGAAATGTTTCCATCACAAGGACTCTCGACGAGTGGAGCATTTCGAACGATTCAGAACCGGAGGAATTCATTACACCCCCAACACCTCCAGTACGTATCGATTCCCTCCCCGAAGAAGAACAATCCCCCCGAGAAAAATCCAGAAGTCAGTGGTTCACTAGTTCAGATTCTGTCAAAGAAAATAAAGAAGAACCGAAAAAATTCGGGTGGTTGAAACAGATCAAGGGGGCACTTGAAAAAGCCCCCGATGTGGTCAAAGGTGTGAGGAACAAAGACGCAGTGGTCCAAAGACCCGAATTGGAAATGAAGAGTTTCGTGCACAAGAAAGGAATGTTGTATAAAGTGCAAAGTGGGCCAGTGGAGGACATCTTCGGGGAGTACAGCGGAAGGTGGTGCATTTTACAGAATTCGAATTTTATTTGCTACTCGGATAGCACTTGTGATACTGTCAAGGAGCATTTTCCGGCCGAGAGCATTTTAAGTGTGCAAATTTTGCAAGATCCTAAATTTAAATACAAGTAAGTGAAAAAAAAATAAATAAATATAATAAAGCGCAGTCCTTGAGTTTGTTTGTGTCGCGGGGTAAATATCAAAGGCAATGACATGTGCAATGCACCGTCATCTTTTGTTTTCGCCTACTTATCTAGTTTAAAATGTTTTAAAATGCAGGCCAAGATTTATTAAAGTTTATGATTACTCTGCCTGCATCGACACTCACATCCTAATTATCGTAAAAGTTGTATTTTGGAGGTTGTTCAGTTACTGTTTAACACACGCATAAAAATTCAAATTTGTTTCAATTTTATCTTTGAAGAAAATAAAGAGATAAAGCGATTATTTATGGCATTGTAGGTTTTGCGTTTTAAAATTGCGATTAGTGATTGCTTCATTTTTTCGCGTCCTAATTGTTGTGTAACAAGATGTCATTAGCTGATGTTTGCTATCGCATGCTTAAGCTTATTATTTCGAATGAATAACTCGTTAATTTTTAATTGTTAATAAGCAAACTTTCCTCCTCTCACATAGGAAAAATTGAGAAACAGGAAGTGAATTATAACTCAAAAACATGTTCCAAAACAGTTGTTTCGATAACAAGCCACCAAAATTGAATTTTTTATCATGATCATGGATTTAGGAGTCTATTCTCGAAGTCGATAGACGATTTTTTTATTTTTCTAAAATCGTCATACTTAAAATTATGGAAAAATTTTAAAACTATGCAATCGACTTTACACAGCATGCATACTTTACTGTCTATCTTGTCAATGACATACAATGTGTCCACGGATAGGTGAAACTATACTCTTATAAAAAATAAAAAATTCTCGATTTCAATTTTTTTTATGGTTAAGGCCTGCTTAGTTATAGTATGCTCTGGAAATTTTTAAAAATCCTATTCTTTTGTAAAGTGCCTTTTGTGTGGCAAATGCTACAAGAAGATATTAAGAAAAGTTGTTTAGAATCAACATCTAGGCCCGTATTTTTAATTTTTTTATGTTTATTATTAATTTACAAAAAAAGAATTTTATTTTTAACAGTTCTTTTATTACTAATAAAAAATGACTTAAATTATTAGTACTAAATAATTTTTTGACGTTTCTGGAAAAAAGTGAAAATTAAACAAATGCAATGTACTTGAACCAACTTCCAAAACCGTAATTACAAAATATAAAGAGCAATTATCTCGTCACTAAAATTGTTTAAAAAAATTGTTACATTGCAAAGAAAACATGTATAAAAAATTATATTAATGTAAATGCTCTCTTTTGTTTATAACGAGGTGACTCGTGTATTTAAGAGTTGTTTGAAAATTTAAGTATGTTATGTCAAATACAGGGTGTTGAAAATTGACCTGGTAGTAAAAGAGTACAGAAATAGTGTAACCAAAATAAAAATTCACAGAACTTTATTTAACTCCCAAGGTACAAGGTTTGAGGGTCGCTGGAATTATTTCTTTGTTAAGATAAAATTACATTGTTGCAATTGTCTCCACGACAGTGAAAGAGAAAAGTTACTTCAGAGATGACACTGTCATCATTTGAAAGTCTAGCAGAAATAGTAAAAAAATATTTTAATAAATAATATGCTATCTCGTTATAATCGTTATAATAAACACTTTTTAACCATTATTAAAAAGAAAAAAAGTTTGGATAGTTTGTTTTTGAAATTTATTTTCGTTTGAAATGTGGAACAACCTTATTTTTCCTAAATCTCGTTGAAATTCGCATAATTTTTCTGTTCTCTAACAGTTTGTGTGATGGTTTTGCAAATATTTCTGCGGTAAAACCTTGTTAAGAATCAAATAATGCTCTATCCAGCATCCAGGAAATCGCATTGTTCCACATCCCAGCGCATTATCTCCTCGGTTCACTGCATCGCAATAAAATCACAATCAAACGCTTTCAGATACGACAACGACGACCTTCACTGTTTCGAACTCAACACGACTGGAAAAAGTCGCGGAGGTCACATCTACGGAACACGCGACATTTCCGAGCGACGCGTATGGATGCAATGCATCGCCGAAAGTCTAACGAAGAAATTTCCCGTGAAAATCACCACGGATTACACACGAATGGGATGGGCGTATCTCCGGGAAGGCGTCGGTGGTCGATGGGTGGGCGCCTGGCTCATGCTATCCCACAGGACTCTGTACTACGCCGTCGATAATCAACCCACCAAGGTGATGGACTTGAGAAAAGTGCGATGTACGGTGTTGCAAGTGTACCAAGAGAGCGATAACAATCCGCGGACTAACGATAAAGGGCCTAATATCGTGGTGGATACACCCGGGGTTACTTTGTATTTGCGCATGTGGACGTCCAGGGAAACAAAGGTAAAGTGTGTGTACAACCGGTGGTAAATTAATAATTTTTTGAACTCGTTTCTAGCTTGCGCAAGGTGGAAGGTACAATTTTTGCTTTTTTTTTTTTGATGTTGTATTGGATGTGTTGTAACCGGTTTTGGTTTCAGGTTTGGTGTCATATTGTTAAGTTGGCAGCACACAACAATGGGGCACACTTGGACCAACAGCAGTTGACGAAAAATGATATTCCAGTTTTAGTGGAAAAATGCATCAACTTTATTTACACTCACGGTGGGTTGAACTTTACTTATCAGAATTGATTCATTTCATTAACTAAAGTCGTTTTTTAATGTAAATGTCAGTTTTAACGTTGGTACCACTAGTAAATTTATTTATAGTGATTTTAATTAATAAAGGAAGTTGGCAGTTCCGGTTTTTGATTTAATTTGAAAATGTCATTAAAAGTCAATAAAAAAATCACCCAAGAAAATTCAGACACGAAAACACAAAAACGGCGTCACAGTCGGTATTGCTACCAGTTTTTGGAAGCTTAAAGGCGAAAATAAGTGTGCAAGCAGAAGTCAGAAAAAGTAAACCGTTAAAATTTAGACGCAATTTGTAACGCAGGTTTGCTAAACATTCTCTAATTTTTAGCAAGAAATTCATGAGATACAAAATAAATATGAATGAGAAAAACCGCAATTAAATTAGTGTGTCTGGTTGTACCGTTTTTGAGGAACAAGTTGAAAAAGTAACATTTTGAAACAAAAGCTGAAGAAGAATTTAAAAAATGCACTTTGAATTCTCATTTCAATAAATTATACAAAATTTATTGTCAATCTTTATACCTACTTGTATCGTATCTTTTGCAAAATAACTTTTTTTATATAGACACTCTTTTTCAGTAAAGTTTTTGTAGCAAAAAGCTCATTTTCGCCCACAACATTGTACTTATTAGCACCGAATTCGGTCTTTACATAGTAGGTAGTAGTGGTGTTTGTCCTCAGGTATTCAATAATCACGCTTTCAAAGAGCAAACAGGCACAAAGTTCATAACAAAATGCAATAAACAAAATTTGTGGCTATGAATAAGATACTTCTACCATTTTTTTTTCACCAAGATTTTGACTTCCGTTATAAAAAAACACTATAGTTGTGATATTAATATAGAATTGGCATTTTGATTTCAAATTACAGGAAGCATGACTGAGGGGATTTACAGACGTCCGGGGACTAATACAGCAGTTGCCGAAATCCTGGCACAATTCCGTAAAGACGCTTGGGCTGTGCAATTAACAATTGATAAATATACCGAACACGACGTTGCGACGGCTTTGAAGAGATTCATCAGGGATATACCTGAACCAGTCCTCACCAATAACCAACGGCAATATTTACATCAAGTCTCTTGTACTGCCTTTACTGTTTAATTGTTTTTTTTTTTCTAATTTATTGATTTTTTGGATAGTGGTGAAAAATAAAGACGAGAAGATACGAATGTACAAAGCGGCCTTAGACCAACTCCCACCAATTTCATACAAAACGGCTAAAAAACTCCTGGGACACCTTCACTTCGTTGCTTCACAAAGCAAGAAAAATCTGATGAATGTGGATAATTTGGCTGCTGTTTGGGGTCCGAGTTTGATGCACCAAGAAGTAAGACGCTTCGTAATAAATCAAAATTTCTTATGTTTTTTTAAGGAAAAGGACAACAACTCTGTCGGAAACACCAAACATGTTCAAAATACTGTGGTTGTGCGACAATTACTGGAATTATATCGAGATATTTTTCCAGAAGATCCGGCCGAAATTGAAAAAGAAAAAGTCATGTTGCAGGTATTGGAAAAACACACTAAGGCCCTACAAGGCGCTTCTAATAATGCGAAAAAGGCGGGCGATTTTCGAGTGTGGATTTATTTGCATAATAAGGAAGGACAACCAATGAATGTTGCAGTAAGTAGAAGAAAAAAGAATGCGTTCGTTTTGCAAATTTTCATTTTAGATTGGCCCAAATAAAACTGCGTATGAAGTTTGTGTGGAACTGAGTCCGAAAATCAATATGCCGGTCCACGAGTTGGTTTTGGAGGAAGTAGTTTTGAATGACAGGTTACAACGACCTGTGCATTTTTCAGAGAAGGTTAATTTTTCAAAAAAAAAAAGGGTTGGTTTAAATAAAATTTCTTCAGGTGCTGGATATAGTCCTTCGATGGAGTTACTGGGAGGAATCAGACCGAAAAGATAACCATTTAGTTCTTCTTCCTATAGCGAAATATTCTGACTTTATTCACGACAAATCAACACCAATTTCTGCAGAGCTCAAATTTTCTGATAATAGATCGAGAAATTTCAAATTGTACACTTTTGAATTCTCCCAAACTAAACTTAATTGTTTTAAGGATAAAACGGTGAGTTTTTATCTTTTTATGGATCAAGTAATTTTGGTTTGTTGTTTCAGTGTGAAGAAAAACTCTTCAGTTACAATATTGAAGACATCATGTGGTATTTAGGTCACGAGTCCAAAAAAAGTCCACAGTCGAGATGGACGATCACATTTATCGAAACGAAAATGCATCCACAACGTACCAAAAACTGTCCCTATTTTGGTAATGTGTTGGTCTGGGGTGACCCACAAACCAGAGCCAAGTGGTTAGGTGCGATGTTAAAGGCAAGATATAGGGAGAGTTTAATCCAGCCAGCTATGCATATCAATTTAATGGTCAACTGAGTTACCAAATTAGTGTTTTAGCCAAATTTACTTATTTTTTACTTAAAACGCACCTTTTTACGTACTAGAAATTAAGGTAATGCTGATTTCTGTGTGTATTTTTTACACAGATGTAAAACTGCTTGTTTAAGTAACGGTATTTGGCAAAAAATTCATCATTGGTTGGTAGTAACTCAGGGTTGGGTGCTTCGGTTTTATTTAGATTTTAAAATGTTTACTGCGTAATCCGGTTTTATTTATTTTTTATTATTTAAACATATTTATGCATTAAGCGATAATAATATTGCGTTCGAGGCGAAGCCAAGATACAGCATGAACAAAAAGCACTCTTTATTTGACCGAGTGGATTTTTAAACCACGAGTGTAACGATTGGTTTATCATCCACGAGGTGGAATAATGCGTCCGATTTACACTCAAACGAGTTGAATACAACATTTTATTCTTCGAATTAGACTCAATAAGGCTTAAACTTGCTTTAAATCTGTTAAAAATAATCTGACGTTTCGTATTGAGAAATGCCAAACAGTTGTCAAAACTTCCTTACACGGGAGAAAAACCGGAAATTTTGACAGTGTCGAAGAATAAAAACAGTTATTGCAACTTCTATTCATTCACAGCCAAAACTGAAGAAAATAATGAATGAAAAAACTGAAGAAAATAATGAATGAAAAAACTGAAGAATTAATAAAAAAGATAACTTCTGAAAAGGTGTCAGTTTGTACCTATTGCTATTCTTTATTTTAACGTACAGTTACGGAATTAAAATTTCGGGCAGTATTTTTCTGTTACTTCAAAAAGTTCACTGTAAACCACCTTTTACTGTCATCATGACTGACATTTGACAATTAAACTTTTCTGTCAGTGACGTTATTTTTTAAACCAAAATGACATAAACATGACAAGAGTACAACAAGAGGTTATTAATGTAAAGGTTGTTTTAGAGTTTACATTGTGAAAATTACAATACTGCCCGAAATTTTAATTCCGCAACTACATTTTAATTGTAAATTTTCGAAAAGTAGTTAATATCCACTTCAATTGTTGAGTAGTTTAATTGATGTGATAAAGTATTATTATAAGATATTTTTTTTTAGTTTTTTGTTTTTGCCTTCTATAAAATGAAATTCATTTTATGTTGAAAAAAAATTTTTCATATTATTACTATTAAAAAAAAATAAAACTTCTAAAAATTCTATTTTCAAAAAGCGATCACATTTTTATAGTATTACTATTTTCACAAAAAAAACCGCTTGGTTCCATACAGAAGAGGTCTATATTCTGTCCTTGTTTATCTAATAAAATGTGATATACAATCATCCTTGTCTAGCTGCGGACTGTTAAAAATTTGTAAGAATTGAGTCGTCATAATCAAATTTACAACTTTAGTGGTGAAATTGTTTTCATTGTATTAATGGGTGAAAAATTTATATAAAAAACTCTTTGTTTAACTTTAAATATGGCGGTTGTGACTTGACGACCAGATTTACACACTTTTTTAAGTTTAAATTTAAATCGCAGAAAAAAAATCGTTATTTTTTAAAATAATTTGAAAGTTTTAATCAAGCCAAAACTAATGTTGTTTAATATCGTACGATATTGGATTATTAAAAATCATCCAACCTTGTTTTAACTACACGGCTGTGAAGTTTTACGTTTTAAAACGAAAAATCTATTCTTTGTAATTTTATTGGTTGTTTACGACTTTACCAAATTTATAATCTGTGATTATGTTGAAATGCAATTACAGAAACCAGTGTTGCGTAAAATTGTCGTCATTTTAATTCCTTGTAAATGATTTAATGAGGAGAAATAATGTTAAAAGTCTTCCAAAAAACTCAAACAAAACTAGTTTCACATTCTTATGAACACGTGACTTTAACACTTGACTGCTTATAAGAATATGAAACGGCTTTTATGTTTCCTTATCTGCTATACATTATATATAATCGCTTTGATTTTTTATTTAGTTAATTTTTCTGACGTAAGATGTATGAATGGTGCACAAAGCCAAACATAATTTAACTTGAGTCGTTTCGCAATAATTGTGTACAAACTTTTTAGCCATTCCTGTTCGTAGTCTTGCCTTGTGACAAGTCTGCCGACTTTAATGCCATTTTAAAGCACCCACAATTGTGATCATGTAGAATATACACTTCTGTGAAAAATCTATATAACTTTATTTAAATTTTTTACAAATACGCAACTCTTTTATTTATAACAAGTCCTACCAACAACGAATCGAACAAATATAGAAATCTTTGGGACAACACACAGGTACTAAATTATCTCGGGTTCTGTAGAACAGTCGGTTGGTCGTTTTCCGTCCTCACTTTGGAATAAGTGTAGACGTATCTACTGGCCCAGTGCAGATAAACATACCACACTTCCATCACCCCGACGATGAGATTCGCAGCGCACGAGAAAATGATAAGAATGGTGAGAATGTTGTCAACTTCGAGACAACTCAAGTCGACATAATGGTAACTTTGGGCGGGGAGAGTGTCGTTTTTGAAGCACATACAGGTGGTGTCGAGTTGGCCGGGGGGAGTACAGGTCATGCTATACAGCGCCACCAAGTGGATAACGGCGAAAGCAGAAGCCGTAAATGCGGAAATTGCCCCAATAGTGCTCAAAGTCACACTCAATACCTATAATTACTCCAGAGTCGAATATATATATATATATATATTTTTTTTTCAAAATTTACCTTGACGGCGTAGACGAAGTAATTTTTTTTCATGCCTGGGTGCTCCTTACGAAAGCAGCAAACCAGTACCATGCCGACTATGCCCGAAAGTAGTACCTACAGTGTTTTTATAATAATGGAAATTTTGTTTGAAAGTTGAATTACTTACTGGTATTCCGCTCCAGTGAGGATTGTCTCGTTGTCGTATGTTTGGGGTCCATATTAGTAGCCAAAGGGACAAAAAACATATTGATAAGCCTAAGAGTAATATTAAGCCTAGCAGAGCTTTGGCTAATTTGTGATATCGGAATATTGCAGGTAAGTATTTTCTTGGTACTGGAATAAAAATGCAAGAGAATATGATAAATGGAACAGAAATGAATTATGTAATTTTCCATAATTAATATACGGTAAATAATATTTTTCCAGTGATTTTTGTTGAGTATTGTTAAAGAAAACGCATTTCTCTTTATGAACTATTGTTCACTTGTGTGAATTGTCTTTTATCAGTAGCATCTTTACTAAATTTTATACAGCATGTTAAGTAAATTTATTGCGAAGTTAAATTTATGCAAACGATTGCTGGAAAATACCCGCATTATGGTAACCGTCAGAAAACATGTGGTGATTTTGCTCCTTTTTCTTTATTTTAGTATGCAATCGATAATCGAAATACTTGTGTTTTAATATTATTCGAAAACAACAGTAAATTACACTTGAAAAAAACAAGAAAATAAATCGAAATTATTTGTTCATGTAATAATAATTATAATAATAAAAACAAAGATTTTAAAACACAGGATTCCTGTTGGTATATACAGGATGTTTCACTCAAGAAAAATTTCAGGTAAGATTATCACATGAAGAGGTCATAGTCTAACTAAAAAAATTGTCATTGTAGGTCGCCATTCTTTTTTTTATTAAATTTGAAAACTAAAAGGAATTTCGAAAAATTTTATTCTTGAAAAACGATCACATTTTTATTGTACTTTGCACTGCACTCATTTTTTTTGTAAAGTGATTCTGATTAGTATATGCAAAAAACGCTTGGTTTCATACTTTTTATTCACCTGGTATGTGTGTTCTAAATAAATAATTATTCAAACTTCAAACAACAGTTTCACTTGAAAAAAGCACAAGCAAATTTGATATTTTTTTATTAGACTAAAAAAACAATTTCAGAAAAAATTGCAATTTGGTAGATTCTATAAGTCATTAACATATTAGTGAATTTACTCGTATTTCTGTTATAGTCAATCAATATTATCATTTTATTAATCCATGTGAAAATTATAATACAACTCTTGACTTCTAAATAATATTCGAAAAACAACAGTTACACTTGAGAAAAAATAAAATACTAAATATTTACTGGGATTTCTGGTTAAAAAATCATTGTATTTCTGTTATAAACATATAAACATGTTATACAGTGAGCGGCAAAATTATGAAATAATCTTATTGATTAAAACCGAAAATATTTTGTTTTGACAAAAATGCTCGCGAACAGGTCAATTTTCTTTTAAAAAAATACAAACTTGTCATCTTGATATATGTTTGGTTTTTTGTTGATATATTTCATTTTCACTTTTTGGACGCTTTTTTTTTTCGAAAACTTTATGTAGGTAATATTTAATATTTTGGTGTTGTCATTTCGACAATTAAAAGGTAAGTATATCGAACTGTCTAAAAAATTAGGGGTTTCCTAGAAATATCGATGATTTCATTACTCAAAAACCAAAAGGTGTAAAATTCTAAATCAAGTTGAAAATTCTGTATTTTTTAATAAGAAAATTGACCTCTTCGATCTTTTTTGCCAAAACAAAATATTCTCAGTTTTCATAAAGATTATTCCATAATTTTGCTGCTTACTTCTCTTTTTGTAAAAGTTGCTTTACTTTTGTTGCACATAATTTAGTTCCATTTCAACAAGTAAAACATTTGAAAACTTAAATGCTGATCAAAATGTTTTTTATATTTTATATAATCAAAGAAAAATTACTTTTGTCCGATAATAATATATATGATAATTTTTTTTTTAATTTTTTCACATGAAAAATTTATTCAAATAGTTTATCATAAAAACAGAGCATCACGGAGTCGACAAACAAGTTTGGTTCCTTTTTATTTAAAAAAAAACACAATTTTTTACTTTTTTTAAACCGTCAACCAAATTAAGGTATGTAATGTGTTCTCAGAATCCATAATAAATCGAATAGTATTATGCAACCTTACAGTAAAATAAAATAAGGGAACTTTTCGAAATCAAAAAGAGATTAATAAAACATAATCTAGTAATTTACTTAATTTTTATTACTCCACCAGAACGATTAAACTGTACTGATTTGAATCAGAAGTAGGCTAAGTTTACTCATTAGGTACCCACTTATCTCAGAACAAAATAGAGAAGTATGTCTTATTATTTTTGATCAAATAAAATGTAGATCAAACTTTCAATTACGCTTTGGTGAATTTCATTACGGAAATGAGAAACAAAAATCCGAAACGGCCGGATGTATCAATAGAAATAGCATGCCGGAAAATGTAAAAAACTAACTATTTTTGAATACAGGATGCACGTAGCTCCCGTGTCATTTCCTACAAGATTTAAACTGTCTCAATGACAAAATGTTTTCACGTAAGCCATCACTCTTTGAATAACAAACATTTTGTGTAAACTCGAAGCTAATAAAGTCAAAATAGACAAACATTGTATCTTTATAGACTAGAGATTTTTTACCTCGTCCATTTTTATTCATCGCAATCATCCGACTATGCCTCAGACTGTTCCTATTGGGCGTATGTTTACTTGCGATATTCTGTGCGGCAATATTTTGGGGCACTGTAGTCATCAAACAATGTGCTTGCGTCGGACTACTATCAAACTGTGTCTCCTTTACAAGGCTTTCCGTATTGTTTCCGTTTTCCAGACAATTGTCGTAAAAACTAACTGGTCTACTTCCGTTTTTTGCATCCGCGGGTACTCTCCGAGCCATCTTTGACCACTACAAACATCGAATATTTCTGCAAAATGAAACAGTTTATTTTACACCGACTACAACAATAAACTGCCGCAGCTTAGTTTATGGTGCAGAAAATGTGATTTCTGTATGAACAGAGCTTTTATGTGGTTGATAATTACTCGACGATGGTCATAAAAGCGTACTTCCTGTAAGGGAAGGGCTCTAAGTCTGAAAAATATAACGCGGAATGATTAACTTTCCATTATTAAACAATTGATGAAGTGCTATTGAATATTGCACAGACGTAGGCAATGAAGTAGGTGGTGCTTATTAAAAATTTATGTCTGCATTTTAGCTTTCTCTTAAAACCATAATTTAATACAAGTAAAAAAATCAGATATTTTTTTATTTTATTCATCACCGCGTTACCCATTTTAGTGCCCTAAAAACTTATCAGTGAAAAACGTCACAATCGTCTGATTATTTGACTACTAAACAACTACCATATACACAGTAATTATTACACCACATTATTATTATTTATTACAAAGATTACAATGCGAATTGCGTAACAAATATTTATTTGTCTTAGATTTTTTTTTCCGAGTGATTGTTTCGTTTGTGGAATTTGCGTGCGTCACGTAGAAAAATAGTGGTCTCACCTAACGTCACAAAACTTCTTTAAAAAAGACAAAAACCACTTTTCCAGCGCGAAATCGGCGATTATTCATCATTTCACAGTTCTTCGGTGTGTTCAGTGGCGCACATCCGCTTCGAATCGCTTGAAAAACCCCGACTAAAAAGCAATTCCGTTGTCATTCAAACGCAAGCACAAGACAACTACTGCATTGAAAAATTTACATTTCTATGGCATGGCCATGTGCTCGCTCGTTCACCTCCACCTTGCCCACCTTTTTTAAATTACTGAAGTGGGATTTACCAGTGGCGCTCAAACAGTGGGGAAATACTCGAGAGATTATCGCGGTAAACCACCCTGTGGAACAGTCTGCATGTTTGGCAAAAAAGAAAGTGAAAATTGTGCGTTTCGAGGTTAATGAGAATCGAATTGGTTTCCACTTACCGTAATAGAATTGGTAGAAATAATCCTGGTGTAAAATATAAATGGGTTGTATAATTGGTTGTTTTCGTGGAAGTGTAATTCCGTCGTAATAGACTGAATCATAAATTTTGAACGCGTATTTGTTGGTAAAACATTCCATTTTGCTTCGAGACTAACCGCTGTACAATTTCAGACTGAAACTATTGTAAAACATGATAGGTCTTTAGGTATTTTTAGAAGGAAGTGTTTGGGTTTAGTTCAAATAAACGAAAAGTGGGCAACCAGGGGACTCATTTATAAATAACGAAGTTTTTATTGATTGTGTCTCGTACAGCACTTTTGTTGATAAAATGAAAGAATATCAAAATTCCTAAACTCTAAAAATTATACTGCAATCAGTTTTGTTAAAGCAAACATAAAAAATATATAAATTGTATTTCGTGTGCCTTATTAACCAGTAGCTATCCGAATAAATAAAATCCGTTTCAACTTTAACATCAACATTAAAATTTAAAATTTTAACTTCAGTCAAACAGCAACTATTTGTTCAATAGACTTCCTAACTCTGAAAAAAAAATCACTTTTCAACTACAAATCAGTACTGTCAGGCTCCTTCTTAACACTGACCGGCGGCGGGGGTGGCGGCTGCGTCGGTTTATTCAAACTCCGCGGCGACGGCGGCGTCTGCGCCAAACTCTCACTCAGTTCGATCAAATTCCCGTCCGATCTGGTCCGCACATGACTAGTTTTCTGATTACCGTTCAGTTTTTCCCCCAAATCGCCTAAATCCTCGTTCGACTTGCTCGCGTCCGATTTCTCCTGCCCTTTTATTGCTTTGGGTGGCAGCCCTGTTTTGCTGTTCGAATTAATATCGTCGAATTTGAGCGGCTGATGGCCCAGAAAACGCTCTTTTTCGGCGATCTTGTTGTCGTGGCCCGGCTGGAATTTCTCGTTACGGTTCTGGACGTTCACGTAGCTGGGCTGTTGCTTGTTTGCTAAGCTGTAGACCGAGCATTGGGTGCGGTGCAGGGTCGGGTCCAGGTCCATGCTGGGCCTCTTTGTGAGCGACGCGGGCCGTGCGGGCACCTGGAACATATTATTCACATCACAACTCAAATAGGTTAATTTTATTTATTTCATTACTTCTTAAACTTACTGAAAATACTAATCAAAATAAAATACAATATTTATTATTGACATTATACAGGATGCGCCAGAACTCGCGCCCCAGAGAAAATTTTCAATTAAGGTAAGATACCAGGAAATGAAAAAAATGTTTAAAAAATTCTATCTGTCAAAAAATTTTGACATTTGATATTTTTATATCTATTTAAGGATACTGATGATCTTGTATATGTTTTTTTACAATTATTTAGTAAAGGGACAAAAATTTTGCCAATAAAAGCCACAAATAACATTGAACAGAGTTACAATTTAGGATACAGCTTCCTTGTTTCCTCTTCTAGTAGTCTGTAGCAAAAAAACTTGGAAAATTATTTTTGCAATAGAAATAAATAGAGTCAAAGTGTAAATTTTAAGCCCTCTTAACTTCGAAATTTTTATAGATAATTTTTTTTAACATTTTTTCCATGTTCCTGGTATCTTACCTTATATGGCATTTTTCTCTGGGGCGCGAGTTCTGGCGCACCTGTATTAAAATAATAGTGCTAGTTTTTGAGGCAGAAACTCACTTCATTTAAGAGATTTGCAGAAACAAGTCAGAAAATCGTCGTTTTAGGTTTGAATTACGCTATTTGTGCAATACCTTCTTTCTGAACCAGAAATTTACTTTATTTTACCAAAACAGGCCATAAAATTAAAGTTTAATGAGCGGCTAATTAAGCAAATCGTTTAATGAGCGGCTAATTAAGCAAATCCTTTAGTTCGTAAAAAGGGCTAAGTGCTAAGTACGAATATTAAAATAAGATTTGCAGGGTAAAAAATAATAATGCTAAGTCAAACCCATGCGCAAGAATATTATAGATTATTTATATTAATTATTGTATCTATTATAGAATATGTATTATTTTACTGAACAAAAATATTTGATGTTTAAGTACAGTACCATGCATTTAATTTGCCTACATTTCTTTTCGATTTGTTTTGTAACCACTTTCTGTAGAAATAAAAAAGCTTAATTATTTTCATCTAGCGTTTAGTATTTTTACTTAGGAAATGTACTTAGCATTTAGTTTAATAACTGAGCGTCTAATTTTTTCCCGTAAAAAAAGCATTTCATGAATTGTTACAAAACGAATTATAATTACAATGATTGGAAAAACATTAATTTGTTTTTGAAATAACTTCAGATGAAAAGTATTTTACAAAAACGACCAAACAAGTTTCGTACAAACATTTTCCATGTATAAATTCACTTAATATTGTATAAATAATATAAAATAAATGTAATATAATAAACCATTATTTATAAGGGCCAGTTTCATAACAACCGAATTTAAAAAGAAATTTAGAGTTAATGTTGGTTTATATGAAGTTTTTGTCAACAAATCCGTAGTAATCAGCATATTCTAAAAAACATTTAATTTAGTGCTTCTTTAAATTCGATTATCAAAGTGGCTCTAAGTAAAATGTCATCTGGTACGAAAAATTGACTGCTGTGTTTATTCCAAGAAAAAACGGAGAAAGGCAATTATTATTACATTTTTCGTTTTTGCCTTTTTAACCCTTTACTTCTCATTAATTGTTTAAGATATCAAAAAATAGGTTTTCAATTATGCTGTTTAAAAATCTTTGTATGGCGCTGTAAAAAACATTAAAGCAATAATACAGGGCGATTCAGATAAGATAATGAGTTTGACGATCTGGCGATGCAACCCAAAAAACAAATTTCATTTACGCCTTTGATCCAATTTAAATTAGGATTTGCAAGTTGAATCCAAGTTATCATCTTATGTCACTCTGACATTAGTGCCATTCAGTTCTCGCGGAATGATAGAGAAATTAGAATAGTCTTTTCGATATAAACCCAACACAAAATGTATGAAAGAATAAAACATTAAAGGTAGGCAAACAGTTTATTTATAAATCATAAATTGCTTGTCAAAGCACTGTCAAAGCAACATAAGATAACTTTGATTGCAAATGCAAATCGTAATTAAAATTAGATCAAGACGTAAATGAAATTTGTTTTTTGGGTTGCATTGCCAGAACGTCGGGCTCATTATCTTATCTGAATCACCCTGTATTTCTTCAAAATTGAAAGTATGTAAATACAATTAAATTTTTTTTATCTTATAGTCTGTAGAAAGTGACATTCATTAAGCAATGAAAAACTTCCCCCGTACTCTTTAAATACAGGGTGTACGGAAAGTCGCGCACCTCCGTGACACTGTATCATCGGGCGGGGCCGTGACAAGATAAATGTTAAAAAAATTATAAGAATTTCGAAGTTGTGAGAGTTTAAATTTTGAATTTTGACTCTTATTTATTTCTGTTGGAATGATAATTTTCCAAGTTTTTTGCTACAGGCTATTAGAAGAGGAAACAAAGAAGTTGTATCCTAAATTGTAACTCTGTTTAATGTTATTTGTGGCTTTTATTGGTAAAATTTTTGTACCTTTACTAAATAATTATAAAAACACATACAAAATCAAAAAAAAAACATTAAAAAGGCAAAAAAAATATGTCAAATGCCAAATTTTTTGACTAATAAAATTTTTTAGTACTCTAGAGGACCACCCAATTACTCCCTTTCAAGGAGGTGCGCGACTTATCACGTGAACTTTTGGAAAACCAATCAATTTGAAGAAAAATTGCAAGGATCACCTTTTGAAAAAAAAACAATAATGTAATTAAATTATGCAAAATTATATAAACCTCTGGTTTGGCGGCGATGATTTCGGGCCGACGAAGCGTCACTTCGGCTATTTCCGGCTGCTTAAGATCAATCTTGATCGAGGAACTTCGTTTGACTCCGGTGTCGATCGAGCGCGGCGCTGCGATCGGTTTCTGACACACGCCGTCTTGTACCAGCGAATGCGTGATTGTTGTTTTAAAGTTTTTATTATCACATGCGTTTTGTGCTACGACTGGCTGTACAGGTTTGGCTTTAGACACTTGGACAGGAGTCGCCGGTTCGGTTATAACCTTATGAGCGACCGTTTTGCTACTATCTAAATTGACTAGAGGCGGTGGTTTGATCACTTCCGGTTTGTGCGTTTCCTCTTGAGATAAACTCATTTTTCTATCGTCGGTGTTTACGCCGATTGAAGTTTTCGGTTTCGGGTTCTCTCGTGGTTTTTGAGGACGGTTTAGGGTGGAGCTGCCCGAGGGATACGACGACGACATTGAATTTTTCTCGTTTTGGACGAGGTCTTGGTCGGTCCGGGCGAAGTTATTCGGAGGGCCAGGGGCTGGGGTCTTCTTTTTCCTCGAACTGGGTTTGGGGCTCTCGCTTACAGAGATATTTTCAGTGCTTGCGTTTAAGTCAATCGTCGATCGGGTGAATCCCCCTTCATCATCAAACCACGAAAAAGTCACAAATTTACTAACGTCTTCAGGAAACAAAGTATGGACTTCTTTAATAAAAAGCTCGACAAGCATGCTACTAGCTGCACAATTCCCCATATTCATTGCCTCTTCTTTATCCCACAGCAAATTCGGAGCGACCACAATTGCAATATTGGACGAACTCATTTTATTTTGGGGATGCCGAGACAACTCCGATAAAAATTGAATCAAAAAAGCTAAATTATCACGATTTTCGCGAGGTAAACTCGCGATTAGACCTTTGACTATATCCAGTCTTTCGCTTTCGGGTTTTTGCATCGACTGCAACCACTCATTGTAAAGCTTTGACGTTAGAAGAGGATCGGGTAATTCCCGGAGGTACATTTTAAGAGCGCTGGCCAAGACATGCATGTCTTGATACTCCGGGATGAGTTTCGGGGAAAAACAGCCTGAATCTATCGACGATTTTAAACGTTTGACGCGAGACATACTGCCGGCGATACGGAAAAGACCCTCTTCGTGAAGACCGTGTTTTTGGAGAAGGGTGATACAAATTTCTAAAGGAAGAGCTATTTTTTTATTAGTGACTCGAAGGTGGTCTTGAAGCGGAATGCCGTAGACACGTTTCACGGAACTGTCACCTAAAAATAAGGAAACATTAGGAAATTACGCAAATGAAAACGATGATTTATGGTCTTGTCCAAACACAAAACTGCAATATCAGTTTTCCGGAATTTGTAAAAATAAACAAACGGATAACGATATAAATACATGAGTAATTTGACCAATAAACAGTTACACGATTTTCTTAATTTAACATTTCTTACGTTACACACATACGAGATGCAGCAGAAATATTTTCCATTATAATAACGATCATGCTTAAATAGTTCGCTAAGTAGTTACGGTATAATTACAATTTTAGTATTTCCATACAGTTCCAATGATTAAATCAATGAGTCCGATAAAATTTCTAATTAAAGTGGTCTATGACTTTGAAATTAAGTTAGCAACAATGAGTAAAAAAACAAGGCAGAAAAACGTAAAATGAGATGTATTTCGGTTCGTTCGATTTAGTCAGTTTTTCACCTCTTTTGTAACATTTGTAGCTGAAATTTTAAAAAAATGGAAAAAGTGAGTGATTTAAAATTGAATCAAATGGAGTTTCTTGTACTCCTGTGGACGTCCTAGGATCCACCTAAGAAACAGTTGTGACCGAATTGTAATCAAAATCTTTTTTTTTCGTATCTTTTCACAATAAAAATAATAACATGATCGCAAAATTTCGGAATATAGTTTTTTAAAGGCAAAATCGGGATGGAACAACATGCCAACATTAAAATGTATCAAAAAGCGAAAAAATGATAAAAAATTGAGTTTTCGATGAAACAAAATGCCCTTTTTGGCCCAAAACCATCTCACAAATTAAATGCCCTACGACTAAAAGTTTTAAATCTACCCGACAATTTTTGATAAATTTCGCGATTTTTTAATTTTGAAAATATGGAGACGAAAAAAATTAAAACCTACATCGGTTGAAAATTTTAATGTTAACATGGAACACAATAACAAGTTTGCCTATACATTCAATGTTTCCAACTTAATTTCAAATTTATAGGCTAATATAACTTAGATCAAAAATTTAATTCAAACAAAAACGTAAAAAAAATCCCAATATACAGGGTGCGCCAGAACTCGCGCCCCAGAGAAAAATGTAAGATAGCAGGAATACGGAAAAAATTAAAAAAAAAAAAATTTCTATAAAAATTTCGAAGTTATGAGAGTTTAAAATTTGCACCTTGACTTATTTCTGTTGGAAAAATAATTTTCCAAGTTTTTTTACTAGTCTATTAGAAGAGGAAACAAAGAAGCTGTATCCTAAATTGTAACTCTGTTCAATGTTATTTGTGGTTTTTATTGGCAAAATTTTTGTACCTTTACTCAATAATTGTAAAAAAAAAACATATACAAGATTATCAGTATCATTAAATAGACATAAAAAAAATGTCAAAATTATTTCACAGATTTTAAACATTTTTTTCATGTTCTTGGTAACTTATCCTACTTGAATTTTTTCTCTGGGGCGCGAGTTCTGGCTCACCTGTATACTATCTATCAGTTTAACAGTAATATTTAGGGAAAGAATTTTAAGTTAGAAGCTTTCTTCTATCAGTGCAAAATTTTTATTACATGCACACTTTTCAGTGAAATTAAAAAACAAACTAAGTGGTTTGAAAATTGGATGTTTGTGGGAGTAGTTTAAAATAAAATTATTGCAAATTTGTGATTTTTGTTTGACATAATTATGTACATACTAATATTCTAATTGATATTTTCTAGAAATTTTTTATTAGTGTATAATGGAAAAACCATGAAACAAAAGAGAGATTTTTATCAAATTTAGCTTGCGACATATCAAATTGTGTTGATGCTTCATGTCCCGTTATTACAATTTTTCTATATTTTTCAAATTTCATACATTTAAAACCAACTCACCTATTTGTTTTTCTAACTCAGGAATCACACTTTCAAGATGCTTTAAGGCACTATCGTGATACGCTCTTTGACATTTCAGTATTTGCAACATGTACCCGGCCAAGTCGTTTTCTTTCGCTAATAAACTAAACATTTCGTAAGCTAAGGCGTCTCTACTTTGTTCCACTTTGTAATCGGCTTCTTCCATATCATCCCTCAAAGCTTCTTTTTTCGTGGCCTGCAAAGTTGTCAATAAAAAATACCCAGTGACTTGAAAACGACGCAACTCACATGATACCTATTACTGGCAGAGTCTTTGTCTAAGATATATTTAGAAAGATTGCGTTTCTGTTTCAGAATATTATGAAAATCGGAATCTAGCAACAACTGTATAGGAGCACTGACTAAATCCTCAACTTGTTTCTCATGATCGGCGTATTCCCTCGCCAAATCCTGCTCCGCCATTGCACACTTTTTAAGCGTGGCACAAAATAAGACATTAGGAAGCTCTTGGAGGTCCCCTTGTTCATTTTTTCGAGTACTTTGCTCGAAAAACACAGATGCCAAGTGATGTTCAATACTCTTTTTCTAGAATCGTCAATAAATCAGTTGTTTTGATAGACAGACAGGTGACTTACAACTCGTTTGTCGATGTCATTATTTTGACCAGAATGGGGAATCCGTTTGATGATCGCAGATAGTGCCGTTCGTAAGTATTCGATTTTCTGATCAGCCACTTGAAGTTCTTCATTATTTAAAACTTCGCTTTTGTCGGCCCTGAAACATGAATCCGCGGTTAAATTGTTGCCTTAATTTGGACACAATGCGATAAGAGATCATTATATTGTTGAATAAATTGTTCTAGTTAAGAATTCAAAAAGATTCGAAGGTTGAGGTTTTCATAACCTCAAAATATATATTTTGTTTCAATTGTTTTGAAATAGATTACTTGATGCTGATAAACACAGGTGATAAACATTGCGATTTAGGGGATTTTTGGTTTGTCATTTTTTTTTGGAAAAATCTCACCTGAGGAAAGTCTGGTCGGCGAGTTGTTTGACTCGGAAAAATTGCTTCTTCATTATAAAACTTTAAATAAATTCGATATTTAAAATTGTAGCCGATAATGTACCACAAGGAATTATTATTAACTTTTACGTGATGAGATCATATTATGATAGAGAAGGCAAATATCACTTTCCATTTCACGTAAACAAAAGTGTATTTCAACGCCGACTTTTCACTCGATTACGCCGATAACCACACTTTTTGTCATTATTGCAGCAGTTCACAGACGTCACAAATTATTAACAAATGTTAAAATATCAATTAATCATCATTGGTTATGCGACATAAAAAAGACCAACACGACCACATCACTTTCTATTACTGGGGCACCGCCACTGGCCGATCGTATACCACGAAAAATGGTCGGCTCCACTCGACGTGCGCGCACAGATTATTATTTTAACAGAATTTCTTTTATTTTCCCCACAAAGCGATTCATAAAACGCGATTTTCACATTCGTGATTGTTGTCGATTGCGGGAGGAGATGTTATTAACATTTTTTTATGGCGGCTGATGAATAACAAAAGAGCGAAGCGGAACCAACGCGCCAATTTTTAAATTCAGACCGATGTGGCATTTACACAAAACTTCTCAGAATTTGATTGGGGCCTTTTATCTAAAGTTTCAATATTTTTTGTTTATTTTCGATAAATGATATATTTGTTAATTTGATAAGAAAGTTATGAGGTTTATGGGTGTCAACTGATACGTAGTATAATTATTATTGAAAACGAACACGAATATGTTATAGCAAATTAAAAGTAATAGTTTAACGAGCTGTTACGGATTTTCTAATATTAAAAAGAAATTATGAGTTATTAAAGGGTATTTTATTTCGATTGGTAATGAGGCAATTTTCATGAAATTTCACCAAAGTGTGATGGCTTCAAACAGTGACAGCTCGTAGGAAGGGTGGCAGAATCAGAGTTATCCAAATACAGAACGTTTTATTTATATACATATAGTTTTAATAATTATTTATTACTATTTTAGAGGCATTGATAAATACAGAATATTCAGAAATAAGTTACAGTCGCGATTGAAATGGTAAAAACCTACGCCACTGGAAAGTTAACAATTTTAAATCCTTTGCAAAGAATCCGTTTCTTGCATCTTTAACAGAAGTGATTTGAAGTTTAGAAATTCTAGTATAGCTGCAATGTTCTCTAAACCTAAAGGTTTCAAAACTTTTTTTGTGTTATTTAAAATTTTATTTGAAAACTTATTTTATTTTATTTCCATTTTAGGTGAGTCGACTAGGTCAGGTTAAGTTAATTATGTATTATTACTAATTTTCTTTAAGTTTGACGATTTAATTTATTAAAAAAAAAGGATTTTTTTTAAATCCCATTTTTTGTTAAAACACATTTTTCATTAGGCTTTCTGACAGTACATCATTTATGTATATGTCGGTATACTATATTTTTAAACACCTTTTTCTTCTATTTATTCTTTACTTAGCTTCTCGAAAGTTTTAAAACTATAGTACTTTAATTTGTCTGTTTTTTTTTTTCTGAGAACCTTCTGTATTTAGTGGTTTACAGGTTTGTTGCATTGTATTAAAGTGTCTATTTTCCGTTGAATTATACAGTATGTCCCTAGATTGAGTTTACAAGAGAAAAAGTTTATCTATAATTTTATGCCAAAACTGCAAGGGAAAACATTTTTTGCTTCATCTGAATCTAGCAAATCTGTAGTTAAAACTTTATTACTCTGACTCAAGTGGAAAGAAAAGTTCATTTTTGTCTTGATTTTCTACTTGGAATAATTTTTATCTGCTTTTTAAGTCCTATCACATTGGTGGTTTTATTTTTTTGACAACGGAAAATGAGATAAAAAATAAAGTCATTTTTAACAAGAACTATTATTATTCAATTAATGAATTAATTGACAAAGTGATATTAAATAAATAAAACCGCCAATGTGCTGGGACTAAAAAAGCAGAGAAAAATTATTCAAAGTCCAAAATCAAGAGAAAAATGAACTTTTCTTTTCACTGAATCAGAATAATGAAGTTTTAATTACAGATTTCCTCATTTCAGATGATGCAGATGATGTAAAATCAAAGATTTTTGTTTTCCTCTTGTAAACTCAATCCGGGGACATACTGTGCATAATACCTAAATTTCACAATTAATATTTTTTTTTACAAAGACAGCAGGACTGTATGACAATAAACAATGAAAAAATAGATTGTTCAAATCTGCTAGTGTTGTTTTTATCTTAATTTTTCAATAAAGCCAAAAATACTTATAAATTGAAGCAATTATATTCACACTATAAAATTATTTAAAAACAATAATGACAAATAAAATATAATAAATAATAATAGTCAAAGAAATATATTGCTATGAACAGTTTTGTTAAATAATTATAAAACAGATAATTACTAATAAGATGAATAAAATTCTAAGTCAATCTCATTCAACTTTTCGTCATTCATATTAGAAAAAAAAACACTTTGAGAAAAAATATGCTTCCGCTTCCATTGAACTTTTCATAATGTTTTTCTGTATAAAATAGTAAAGCTTTTTGGCTCTAAATTTGTCAATATCGTCCAGTTGTAACATAGATTCATTTATAAGAAAATCAAATGTTTTCAACTTATTTTTGTCAGAGTGTGGCGATAGAAATGGTAACGTGGTGTATGTTTATGACAATAATATAAACATTTTTTTTAATTAATAAAATATTATTATTGTATTTATTATTTAATTATTGTGCTTATTATAAACCACAAAGAATTAAATATTTATTTGCTAATCAGCTAAATATCTATCATTTGTGATACTTAAAGTGAAACATTTTAGCAAATAGTTAATTCTAATCATGTTGATGCATTTTATTTTTCAACTCTTCGTTTCACTCAGGTTCCAGACAGAAATTATTGAAGTATTTTTTATGGTGGCTAGAGGACCAGTTATACTACGATGTATTAACTAAAGTCTAAACAATATTACTTTATCAACATTTTTTATTTAACAATAGTAAACACAAATAACATGTACGCATTTTTCAAAAATGAAAACGTACATATTAGTACTTAGTAAATTGTTAGTCGTACTGTATTTGTTATAGTAAGAAATAAGCGACAGGAAATGGGAATCCCCCAAATATGGTAATGACATCGCTCATCAGTTCCATCTCATTGAATTATCTAGGAGTACCTACTTTCTATATACTTACTTATAAAATCGAACAACAAAAATATTTATTATTATAAAAATATAATTGTGATTTTTTTTTTTTAATTTTTCAGTAGCAACACAAATTAAAATTTTCTTTTAGAAATAAAAAAAATAAAATAACATTTAATTACTTTTTTGTTTAAACTGAAAACCCAAATAAACACCAAACCTGCAATTATAAACAATTCCGTTACCTGAATCGAACAATTTGGGCCCCATTACGCCAGTCAATCACCGAAATTTATTATCAGTATTATAACACTGAGGCTACGTCCGCAAGACGGCAGCACTGGAGCCGAGAGCACTATCCGCATTATAAAACCATTCGCAATCAGAATTTTCAAACCAGACACACAATCAGAACGAAAGTGAATGTTTTAAGTTGAATTTTCATTTCCAGTTTGAAAGAGAGAATGGCGTTCGACCGACGTTTGTTCAACGTGGTCCTTCTGGGCCTGGCTTTCATGCTGATTTTTACCGCCTTTCAGACCATGGGCAACATACAGGTAAGTCAATATGTTTATTTCTTCGTAAAAATAATAAACCTGTATTGTGCAAAAGCATCTGATTAGAAAGTTTGGCGCTTTGTGGTCTTGAACTTGCGCAAGTTTCAAGTTCGTCTCAATAATTGTTAACAGTAAACATGAAGGCCGAATTCCGGTTTGTTGATAAAGGAATTCATACAAACGCACACTCCTACTGCAGATTTATATTTAGTTATGTCCCACCCGGAGTTTCCGGTGTTCAAAATAAACGTGCCTCCGGCAATCTTGAATAAGAATAAATTACCAGTAATTGCTCGTAAACATTAGAAATTGTTCCAATAAATATTTTAAAAGTTGATTCTATTGGCGCGAATATCTTATCGATAATATTCCAGTGCTTATGGACTTTAATTAATCTGTAACAACGGCTGAGATGTTGTTTGCGTAATTCTACAGATAAAAGAGATGTTTATCGGCTATTTTTGCGAATATCAATTGGGTTTTCCGTAATTGTCGTGCAAGATAATGAAGATTTTTATTTTTACTACATTATTGCTTCTCAAATTTTACTTCAGTGAAGATTTTTCAAGAGTTGGATAAGAGTCCACTCAATGAAAAATTGTCTTATTATCATCTTTTCAAGTGAATTTTTTTAAGGCAATTAAAATTAATACCATCGCATCAGATTAGCCTGAGATTTCAAAATTAAGTTTGCGAAAATGCATAGAATGGGGACGATTTGCTATACAAAGTGCGCCAGAACTCGCCAAAATGGTACGATACCACTAGAAGCATGAAAAAAATATTTAAAATATCCTATTTATAAAAATTTTAATGTTATGAGAGTTTAAATTTTGTACTTTGATTCTATTTATTTTCTGTTGGAAAAATAATTTTCCATGTTTTTTTTGCTACAGGCTATTAGAAGAGGAATCAAGGAAGCTATATCTTAAATTGTTACTCATGTTTTTATGTTATTTGTGGCTTTTATTGTTAAAATTTTTGTATCTTTACTAAATAATTATAAAATGCATACAGGGTGCGCCAGAACTGGCGCCCCAGAGAAAAATGTCACTTAAGGTATCAAAGATATCAGGAATATTGAAAAAAAAATTTTTATCTATATTAATTTTGACACTATTTATTTCTGCTGGAAAAATGATTTTCTAAGTTTTTTTGCTACAGACTACTAGAAGAGGAAACAAGGAAGCTGTATCCTAAATTGTAACTCTGTTCAATGTTATTTGGGCTTTTATTGGCAAAATTTTTGTACCTTTACTAAATAATTGTAAAAAAACATATACAAGATCATCAGTATCATTAAATAGACATAAAAAAATGTCAAAAGTCAAAACATTTTTTCCATGTTCCTAATACCTTATCTTACTTAAAATTTTTCTCTGGGGCGCCAGTTCTGGCGGACCCTGTATACAAGATCATTAGTTTAATAAACATAAAAAATGTCAAATGTGAAATTTTTTTGACAGATACAATTTAAAAAAAAATCCATGTTCTTGGCGTCTTCTCTTACTTGAAATTTTTTTTTGGGTCGCGAGTTCTGACGCCCTATACGTATCATGTTCCTACATCAATGTCGTCAACTTAATTTTTTAAATCACAGGCAAATTACTTGAAAAGTGATTGTAGTTTAATAAGACAACAAAAGTTTTACGGACAGTTTAAAAATCGAGGTCATAGTTTAATAGACCGAGATTTTTAAACTATAAAACTGTTGTCTTAAAAATTTTTTCCTACATTGACATTGGATCACAAATGTTGCTAAATTAAGAAATTGTTGTAAAGAAATATGTCAAAATAATGTCAAGATTGGCAAAATGCCAAGATAAGTGTATTTTATGTACTTTTAAAAAACGATGTGATTGACGACGTATTTTATAGAAGCTTAAATATTAAGATATTAAAGTTGGAAAAAATGACTTGTAAAGGAATTTTTTTCTTTGATAAACACTTAATAAAATGGTGTCACCCTATTTTAATCACTCTTTTCTTTTATTTTGTTTTACTATAACAAGTGTTATCAATATGTGAGATTATTTCTGTAAAAGATTATTGCGAATGTGATAAATATAAAACGTTAACACTTTTATTATTATAAAATATTGCTCTAAAATAATAAAACAAATTATTACAAATAATGATAAGCTTATTTAAGAAAATTACGTCAAGGCGGGTGTATGCTTTTAATTTCACTTTTATTATAAAATAAAAGTAATAATTTTAACAACATGCAGGCACCTACGTAATAATTCGATAATTTTAATTTTGTTCCACTTTTACTGAAACGATTCTTGTTTTCGTCGCATAATAAGTAAATATTTATCTAATTGTGGAAATATTTTGTTTTCGTGAGTTAATCAATCTTTTAATCGACACATCTAATCTGTGATGGGTGGATTCACGCTTTTAATTATTTTCATTATTTACGCAATGATTTTTGGAGAAATATTCAACAAATGCAAAAATTGCGCAAATAATGTTACGATGATTTGAATTTATAATTTTGAAAAAGTAAATTCAAGGCAAAAAAGTTATTTTGTGTTTTTTTACAATTACTTGTTAGTTATTTGTGTCAACTTGTTTATTGATACTAAGTGAAATCTTCACAAATTTTATTTTTGTGAACTACTTATACTTGACATTGGATGATTATTGGCCATTTTTTCATAAAGTTGATAACTTAATAATAATGTGTGTCAAGATGCAAGTTTATCATCTTTGCTTATTTTGTTAGAGGAAAAGTATGTCTTGGAGAAAACTGTGATTGTGTTATGAAGTGTAAAATCAGAGAAAAGAAATTTAGTCACAATTACTATAGTAATATGCCGATTCTTAACCTTTTGGAGGTTGGGAAATTTGTCATTACATCCTGTGGTCGGAAAGTAATTTATGCAAGAATATCAAATTTACGAGTTTATCAATTATCAAAAACTTTATTTGTTTGTATAGAAATATGTCATTGCATCAACTTGGACAAAAAAACTAATATTTTGTGAATGTTTGATTTGATTATGAATAATATAGTACATATACAAATCTTGATGCAAATGTCATTTTTAGATTTTTTTTAGATTAAAAACGTTTTATTATAGTTTAATTGTTATCTTTAAAGCTATAGCAATGACTGAAAATCTATTTTGTCAATAATAATAATTATCAAACCTAATCAGATAATTAAAAAATTCCTTTTTGATAAATGAAAAGAAAAATGGGAGAAGGGTCTTTCGAAACTTGATAAATAGGAGTCAATGTTATTATCTTGATCTCTCTCAACAATAAGTTTTTGTAACCTTGTAATGCCCTTTGATCCATTTAATAATTGCTAAAAATAATTCAAAATCTTGAAAAAAAATATTTCTCATCTTCCCACAAAATGATGTTGCCCTCATTCGACTTATCTCAAAAAGTTATTGACACAGTTTGCATCAGTGCTAAAATCTGGATAACCTTTCGCATCTCATTTTTTTTGAAATAAATAAATACGAAATACTATTTTATTTAAATTACATGTGTGGGCTTACAAGCAGATGGAAACTGGTGCAACGAAAGTTTAAAAAGTACATAAAAAATTACAGAGTTGACATTTCAAGTGGTGATAAAAATTTAAATTGGGAAGAAAGTAAATTACTTGCTACAGATTTTCGTAATGGGGCTGTTAAATTAAATATCGCCAACCTTCGTCTATATCATCATTTCTTTAGCATTTTTTCTTAACTCGTCAATTGGATAAATGTCAATAAATACAGAACTGGTTCTTTCAATGAAATTAGCACACTTTTGATTTATTTATTGTAAATAATTTTTGTGGATTATTAATAAATGTACAGAGTCGGTTACGGTTATGGAAGTTTTGTTAGATTGCTATGACGCAAGAAAATAAATGCATTTTTGAATAATTTTTTTAAATTCTAATGATGCGGTTTGCTTAGGCTTAGGCACTGTCGTGATTATTTGTTTTTTATTAATTCTTAAGTTTTGTTACGTAGAATTTGATAGTGTAAAGAGATAAATTGTGTGATCAAGAACTGCTGTTTCAGTTGGCAATAAAAAATTCTACTTGCAATTGGCAAGATTCTTTTGTACTTTTTGCCCACTCTGATTGTTGACACTTATGGCAGAAACTTCAAATTTTATGGTTTTTATTATTATTATTATTTTTTCACTAGAATGTTGAATTTTTATTGGGATAAATAAACATCAGAAAAAACTACTGGAACATTACCTTCAAAAAGTTTAACAGAGTAACAGAAAAAATTAACAATTGCAAATGCATCAAAAGAACCTTCTTAAAATTTTTATTTTTATTTTTTACTTCTTGGAACAAAGTTGAAAAGTTTATTATCATCTATGAATTTATTTATTTTGATCGAGCGTCTATTCCAAAAAATTGCTCACAATAAACACAATCAAAAAATTGCTCACAATCAACTTTGATCAAAAAATAAGTATTGTCATATCTCGAAAAATAATAAAATTATGGCTTGGAGCGGTTTTTATTATTCAGCTTATATAAAATTTTACTTTGATCATTAAAAAAAATTAAAAAAATTAAAAAATCTTTAAATACAGCAATGTTCCGGAAAACAAAAATACCAATTACCGAGGTTATTTTAAACCAAAGCTAGTGGAGCAAAATGAAAATTGCCCCCATGTTGTGGTTCCACATAACCTCAAGATCCAAATTTTAACCATGCTTTAGTTATTTATTATTTCACTAGACGATAAAAGACTACTTTATCTACTGAAGTTAGTTGATAAAATCACTCTTTAACATTGAGTACAAAATAAAGTCTATTTATTGCTTGAAAATGATAACGGCCGTTATCAAAACGTTGCATGAAACAATAAAAAATTTAATTTACAATCTGATCTTTTATTTTCATAATAAATCGAAACAATAATACTAATGTTTATAATTAAAAAAAAATAAAAATGTAGGTAGTTAATAAAAGTCTTTTTCATTTTTGTATGCATCTCTTAAATCGTTAATTCCTCCAATGAAAATGCCCTCGGCTCCTTCAGTCGCCTCTGGCGTTACCTACATTCTCGGGATTAAAATTATTGATACATAAATGATTATTTCATTGATACATAAATTACAAATAATACCTACATTTATAATAACATTTTCAAATAAAATATTGTGACAAGTTATAAAGGAAGATTAAAGTATAAATTTTTGTGAACCAAGGCTAAACAATGCTTTTATTAAAAAAATAATTGTGCCTTATTTTATAGTAATTGATGGTAGGTGTATAAAACCAGTCATTAATTTACTATATTTTAAATAAGATTAAAATATAAAAACGAAAAGTTGTAGCTCAAAATTCATTTTACTAAAAAACTAAACTCAAAACGTATTTTTTGGTTGGGAAACAAATGAGAGGTGTGACGACTACGTCATTTCAACTTATCAGGTATTAATAAAAAAAAGATAATGTTTACATTAATCCATTATTTCGATACAAAGACTTTGGCCAAAAAGATTTTTATCAAAAATATTGTATTTTGTCATTATGAATCAACATACCTGCGTATAAATACTATTATCGGTAAAAATAATCTGATTCATTATTTTCAATCAAAATTAGTTTTTGTGATGAAAGATTATGGCACAAAATTTGAGATTTGATTTTTTGCAGAAAACCATCATTGAGAGTATAAAGCAAGACAATGAAAAAAAGAACGATACGAGTTTTCAAGGCGATGGCTACGTCAGTCTTTCAATCATTTATGCTGTGATGTCTATACTAAACTGGGCAGCCCCTTCTGTCATAAGTGTGATAGGTCCGAACTTTGCTATGTTATTCGGGGGAATCACCTACGTGTAAGTCCCAAGATGCGACTTGGTTCCCCAAATTCTAACATAATTGTAGTCTCTTCATTATGTCGTTTCTCATTCCTCGAACGTGGCTTCTGTATTTGGCCAGTGTTATCATAGGAACAGGCGCTGCTGTCATATGGACGGGACAAGGCAACTACCTCACATTAAATTCCACACAGGCGACGGTATCAAGAAATTCCGGCATTTTCTGGGCAATGCTACAACTAAGGTCAGCGTTTTATTATTCCCAACTAGTACTTTCTACAAGGCTGATTTTTATAGCATGTTTATTGGAAATCTCTTCGTCTATTTCAAATTCAAAGGCTTGGATTCGATTGATGTAGATACCAGAAATATGGTCATTTGGACTTTGAGCGGGATTGGAATTGCTGGACTTGTGGTCATGGTGCTTCTTCCTCGGCCGAAAAAAACATCCCAAATTGATATACCGGACGAAGTCCAGCAAACACCCCTCGAGGCGCTAAAAGGCGCTGTCAAGTTGTTCTTCACCAAAGACATGCTCCTTCTCTCCATCACATTCTTCTACACAGGTTTGTACCCGTTTTAGAAATAAAACTTGAATCATTTTATTATATTTCACAGGTATTGAGTTGGGTTTCTTCAGCGGAGTCTACAGTTCATGCATCGGCTTCACTCAGAAATTTTCCAATCCCAAGGAACTCGTCGGCCTCTCTGGTATTTTGATCGGTCTTGGAGAAGTCCTCGGAGGGGCAGCGTTCGGCATTTTGGGTTCCAAGACCATCAAATGGGGTCGCGATCCCATCGTTATTGCAGGATTTATAGTCCACGTTATCAGCTTCTTCCTCATTTTCCTCAACTTGCCCAACAATTCTCCCTTCTCGGACACCACAGACGGGGCTATCATCACAAGTAGTCCCGAATTGGCCATCTTCTGTTCCTTCCTCCTTGGTTTTGGAGACTCGTGCTTCAACACACAGATTTACTCCATTTTGGGGGGTGTTTATTCAAATAATAGCGCATCAGCGTTCGCTATTTTCAAATTTACACAATCAGTGGCGGCTGCGATTTGTTTTGGGTATTCCACCGGTTTGATTTTGTATGGCCAGTTGGGGATTCTTCTCGTTTTGGCCATTTGTGGCACCGCTAGTTTTGTCATGGTTGAATGGAAAGTGAAGAAAGAAGCACTCGCTAAAAGTGTTCACGACAATGCAAGCAGTGAAGGGAGTGAAAAAGCCGCTTTTTAATGTCTTATGAGTATTTATTTATCTTTTATACATAAAATTTTTCCCTGTGTAACAAGTATTGCTTCTAAGAAGCTTTCTCTTAGTTCAAGTGGTAACAAACAAAGTTTCCTTTAATAATCTGTGATGGAACGAAGTGAGACTGATGAACCAATTGTATTTTGTTGCCATTCCTTAAATTATATCAATTGTTAATGACTCTTGTAAATATTATGTATATTTTAGTGTGTCACAGAGTGTAAATATGTTTTTATGGAATCTGTGATAAAAATCAGGTTTTGGTAATTTTAACAGACTTGCGAGATTTTAAAATGTAACAAATCGTTGTATATTTTAAATGTACCATAAAATTTATTCAATATTGACGTTTTTTTATTATTTACAATAGAAAGTAAAAATAAATGAGTGTTTAGGCAACTAGGAGTGCCACAGGGAAGTGTTGGTTGCATAACCACTCAATATTCTTTTTAATTGGAAATAGCAAAACATTTTTTTTGCACTATATGTATATGAGCAACAACATTTTTTGACCTTAAAGAGCTTGATAGGTTTTTAGAAAAGCATCTGTTGACTGCAATTAAGTTTACTGCCTTGCTGTAGTCTAAATCCGTTACAAACACAATAAAAGCGACACTTAAGATAATTCTCAAATTGCAACAATAAAACAACTCAGTTTTCTCGGAATTAATTCCAGCGAATTCTCATTTAAATATCCAGCAACTTTCAAAACAAGATTTATTGACACATGTGGTAATAAAACAATTGTGTATTCTCATCGCTTCATTCACACGATTCCAAGTCACGCATTCGGAAGCGCCAGAGGAAGTGGAAAAAGTCAAGCACAAGTGTGCAAGGCGTCGATAAAAATGCATAATTTGTAGCAATTTAACCAATTGTTTGGATGATCTCAATCGGGGCACGAGGAAGTTGCTTTTTGTCCAATAAACAACAAACAGGAGATGTGGCAAAAAGAGACCAGGAACTGGCTTTTACTGTGTTTTCATGATTCATCACCGACATATGTTGGTCCATTTAGTTCCTTGGAATGAAATGATATCACACTAAAATTTAAAATTCATATATTTCTTTGCAAACAATACAATTCAATAAAAATATATTTTACATATCACAGCGCTCTCTGTCTACGCAGAAGACGATTATGGCATTCGTGTTCTTAAGCAACAGATGTATTAAAATCTATAATAATAAAAGTGCAATGAAACGAAATCTTATCACGATTTTGCAGTACTATAGGAACAATAATAAGATTTCACTTGATTGCATTTGTAACACATTCTAATGTGAGATCCAATCAATACTTTATGTACACATTAAGAAAAAACTAAAAGTAGTAATTACAAGTACAAACAGAAAGTAGATTAGTTTTAAGCGGCTCTATTTTGGCACCAAGAATTCAATTATGGAACCTCGTTTTATAAAAAAAGAGACCGTGAAGCTCCAATGTGGAGCACATCTATGTACACTAAAACCAGAGAAATCCTTCTGGGACGGTCTTCAACAATTGCACATTGCACAGTAGTCCCAATCTGGCTCGAGTTTTTCGCTAAGCACCGTCGCATTCAAGTCTTTCCTATGTACAAATCACAGCAGCGCACTTAAGTTACTTTGGTGGGGCTAACTTCGCAGGACGCAGTGAGCCTTGCCCTCTTCGGACAGCTGGTTAACTAGAAGAGCCCAATCTTCTAGTCGGGGGGCGCACTGGAGGGTCAAATCGCCGAGCTTTCGGCGTGCCATGAAGACGAATTCGCCCAAACCGTGCGAAACTCCACAATGCTGGGCCACGTGGAGGGTGATTTTCTCCAGAGGAGTGTCCTCAGGAATGGAGTTGGTGTCGATGGTGAAGGCATCATCGAAGGTGTGCCGGATAAGTTTTGTCACTTTGACCGACATTTGGGAGATCTCCAGGTCCTCGTGGTTCTCCACGCCGTGGATGATCCCACGAGTTACTGAAAAAGAGAGAAATGAAATAAATACTTTGTTTTTTTAAGCTTTAATCAACTGTAATAAATCGTAAATTAATATTCGTATTTGTTTAAATAGAAGTTATACAGGGTGTCACAACTCGCGACCCAGAAAAAAAATCAAGTGAGATAAGATATCAGGAACATGGAAAAAATGTTTAAAAAAATCTATCTGTCAAAAAATTTTGACCTTTATTTTTGTACTTTTGACATTGTTTTATGTCTATTTAATGATACTGATATGTTTATTACAATTAATTAGTAAAGGTACAAAAATTTTGCCAATAAAAGCCACAAATAACATTATAGAGAATTACAACTTAGGATACAGCTTCCATGTTTTCTTTTCTAATAGCCTGTAGCTAAAAAACTAGGAAAATTATTTTTCCAACAGAAATAAATAGAGTCAAAGACCAAAAATTAAACTCTCATAACTTCGAAATTTTTATAGATACAAATTTTTTAACATTTTTTCTATGTTCCCGGTATCTTACCTTACATGGCATTTTTCTCTGGGGCGCGAATTCTGGCGCACCTGTATATCCGTAGTTGTATAATAGCAGAAATAGACGAAGTAACTGAACGCTGTTAAAAAATTTAGAATGCAAAACAAAAAACAACAGATTTTTAATCTATGAGAAGGATTATAGGTACATAGTTTTAAATGTGAAAAATTGCAACACTGCAACCTTATTTTCTGAGGTGAAATAGGTTACAAAGTTGTATTTTCTGTTGAAAAAATGCCTAATGATTTTTCGAATGACTGTTTAAGTTGGTAATATGATGAAAACATCTTCTTATTCGGCTGTTTGCAACACTACAACCGGATATGGTTTTGCTTGACAGATAACAAGATTGTTGGTTATGTTCCTATTTAATTTAAACACAATTTAGAGTTTCAGATGACGTTGTAGATATGAAACTGTCACCAATCGGCAGCATTCTTAAAATTACTTCAGTTGTACCATTAAAATTATCATAAGATTTTACACCTAGCAACCTATAAAAAAAAACAGTGGTAAAGTGACGTCTATCTTATTGTCATTGTCCCATTTTTTATAAAACCAATTGTACAATATGTGTTGTGTTATAGATAAAAAAAATTGTAAATCTAACAGGAGTATTTTGAACGTGTTATCGAAGTCTCTAATTAATACATTGGAACACCTATTAAAAGTTTTGGAGAAATATTAAAACATTTCAAAAATTCCTCTATTTTTTAGTGATTTCTAATTTTATAGGAGTAATTTTTATAAAAAAAAAGAGAGACGAAATTCTATTTTCTAACAATGTGTGCATATTTTTATTTTTGTGTTTTTGTAAAAAAAACAAGTTTCAACGGTTCTTTATTCTTTTATACACATTTTAATTAATGAAAAGAAAATTACCTACAGCTTTGTTCTTTATATTATTACAATAATAAATAAAAAGTATGGAACTAAGAGTTTTTTTTTTTAATCATTTGCATTCAGAAAATATTAATTAAGTAATAAAAATTAAAGTGCTATAAATGTGATCGTTATTTAAGAATAACTAATAGTTGTTTTTAGAATTGTTTTGAGAATAATAATAATAATTGTTTTTGAGTTATGGAGTTTTTTTTGGTCAAAACGGCAAAAAACGTTTGATACTCGTATATTTAGAGCTCATACTTTTTTCAAATACATTTTTGTACTTTTGTTTCTATCGATTGTAGTTACATTTAATTATTCTGATGAAAATGTATTTTTTTAATTAGAGAGTTTTGATTGGTCAACAACTTTTGGATATTAATCCATTATTAAATAGAAATTGATTTTTTAATTGAAGTGTGTGGAAATTTCTGAATACGAAAAAAGAAATTACAAAATGAAGGGAACACAAAAATGCCTATCAAAAAATTGATGAAGTAAGGTGTATGTGTTTTACTGTTTTATACACTTTTTAATTTAATTTTGTCTGTTGAAAAACTCTGTTCGTTTTAAGCGTTAAATCAGTTTATTTAATTTAACAGATTAATTTTATTTGCTTCAAGAATTCTACGAAAAGAAATCTGCCACCAAAAATTACAAACAATTAACTCACCCACTTATTGATGTTGCTTCAAAAAGTTATTAAACTACACAAAAATAAACTCCCATTTTTAGTAAAACAATAACTAAGAACTTTTTTATGTCTTTAACAAACTTGGAAAAATCTAGTGACTGTACTTATTTCTGTGACCCGTTCTAAGTTTCCGAAACATTTTAACGGTTTTACTAAGTTTTCTAGAGAAATTGGTAAAAATTGTGTTTCATTAAACAGTTTCTAAATATAACAAGTAATTGGAGGGAAATATTTTTACTTGACTACGCATAACAATACAATAAAATAGTATACGCGTTAATTCAACTACAATGGCGTAAAATCCCAATTTTAACCACATCTGATTACTATTGTTTCAATTTTAATCAGTTCAAACGTTTTTTTTGAAATTTTATCGTTTCCTATTTGATTCATTCGAAGGTAATTAGTTGCAAACGCATTCGTTATTTTTCTCTTCTTCAAAGAATGTCATGTTTGTTTTCCGATACGGATAATCGTGGTATTTACTCGAGATAAAGACAATTTTATTTCTTATTTAAAAATCCTGTACAAATACTAAAACTCGTAGTTGACTCAGCCTCACTCTTATCGCTGTTTAATTAAGATTAACGTATCAGTGGGCTTGTCCCTCAAAACACTTATTTCGATAGAATTATACAAACAAAAGCACACTTTTTGAAAAATATTTCGATTCGACCGTTGAACAATAATCGTACATACAGCTATTGTTCTGTTGGCTCGGTGGGCGTCACAAGCGCTCCTTTGCCATAAAAACATTATGCTTACGGTGGTCTCGCGAGCCGCTCATGTAATTTTTTCTCTTTAATCCGCGGTCTAGAACACGTTGCCATAACAGGACAAGAGGTTTCTCTCGAGGGCACACACCAGATCCATATTTAATTCTTGCGCGAGCTATTTATTTACCAACGAAGGATTGTGCATTAAATTTTTTCCGAGCAATTAACCGTTTTTTGATACGTGCAAATGCCCCCGGCTGACAACTTTCCAGCGCTGCTGACTCAATTAGGCGCCGAATTCGGTGGCGAAAACGGCGAAATACCGGAAAAAACTGCTAATTGGGCCACCCGGGTGGCAAAAAACTGATCTAGAAGGTGTCTCCTTTTTGAGAAAATATTCTTTAATTAAGTTAGGCGAGTTTTATTGCTCATTAAGTGGATTACACATTGATACGTTTTTCAAGTAGTTGTGCAAATCTGTTGGTGATGAAGAAGGAAACATCGATAAATCTATTCACGCAGTTTGTCAAACATGTTTCTGTTTTGCCATCGAATTTCTTTCCAAGATTATCGACGCACTTGTCCCAACACAAGTCGGTAAATTCGTGAATTTGTTCTGCCATTTCTGCCATTTCGCGTTCTGCTGCAAGAAAATCTTGCAACTGTTTAACGGAATTTTCTTCACTCATTTTGTTACTTCAATAAAATTTTGCATTTTGGTTTATGACACACACTGATTCAAGACGGCAGCCGTCTATTTTGTGATAAATGTGGCATTTTAGTCTCCAAGAATTATTGCGTTTCTTTATTTCTTATAATAACAAATTTTCGCCAAAAAAGGCAAAAACTATGCGACATGAGTATGTTTTTTGCTCTTTTACATTTTCAAAATTGAATTTTTTTAAACATAATTTTTTAGTTATACATCAATCAAAAACGTACTACAGTGTTAAAACTCCGGTTATTACGAATAACCGTAAACTTGGGCACTGTTGCTTAATAAAATGACAACAGATAAAAGAAAAATAATAAATGTTTAACAAAAAATACCTACTTGTATTTTTCAATTTAAACTAAAAACAAACCAAAGTTAATAAAATCTAAAAACGGACGCCCAAAATTTAAATTGGCGTTTCGAATAAAGCGGATTTCGGATAATCATCACAATTCGGATAACCAAAGTTCTATTGTACTATCTGGAAAATAGTTATTAATTATACAATACGATAAAGAAATTGTTTATCTACGAGTGAAAAGGTTAAGTTTACGAGAGACGAAGTCACGAGTGGACTTATTTCACGAGTAGATAAACAATCTTTATTGTCGTGTATAACATTTCGTTTTATTTTGTACGCACCTACCAGAATTTCTTGAATATTAACAGTAGACTAGAAATTAGTTGATAAAAGCACTCTTTTACATTGCGTACAAAATAAAATAAATTATCACTTTGACTTCGACATTTTTGCAAAGAAAATTCAATTGAAAAATGTTATGTTTTGTTTTTCGGTTTACATCCCATAAAAAATGTTACAACCTAAAAGTGCTAATAAAAAATAAACATGTAAATACTCGTAATAATAAGAGTCTAAGTTTAGTTTAATAAAAATTAGTTTTTTTGTAACTCTTGTTTATAAAAATTTTTGCATAGTTAAATGTAGAGTTGCGGTCAATAAAAGCTGAGCGGCAGTTTTTTCTAATGTAAATGTTATTTCGATTGTTACTCATGTGCGAAAAAAAGTCACCCCATGTTGACATAAAATGTCAATGAAAAAAAAATGACACATTTATCTTTGGCAGAGAAATTACGGTTTGTTTCTCTTATGTTTGTTTTTGAATAAATACGTTAATCCTTTATCTATTAAAAAAACGTTTCTATAAATGTCACCACGTGTATTTAGTAAAAATCAAAATTATTTTCGTTCAAGATAATAATTATTGTGAATCGCCAAGTAGGTAAGTCTGAGGTAAAATTGTGATTTACCAAATATCATGACATAAAAAATCAGTACCCATATTTTATTGTCCGCAACTGTAGTCTATCAATATACAGGGTGAATATAAAGTATGGAACAAAGTCGTTTTTTTAATCATTTGCCTCCAAAAAATAATAATTAATGTAAATAAAAGAAATAAAAATGTGGTCGTCTTTTGAGAAGGAAATTTTGTTTTTTTTTTATTTAAGCGATATTTTTGTCAAAAATTGTTTTACAGTGAATTGCCATTAATCAAAATTCTAAAACTCAAAAACAAAAGAAAATTTTGAAAAATTTTATTCTTTATAAAACATCACAACTTTATAGTAGGTACAGTTGCGGAATTAAAATTTCGGGCAGTATTTTTCTGTCACTTCAAAAAGTTTACTGTAAACTACCTTTTACTGTCAACATGACTGACATTTGACAATTAAACTTTTCTGTCGGTGACACTATTTTTGAAAGTAAATAGATAAGTCAAAATGACAAGAGTAAAAAATGAGGTTATTAATGTAAAGATTGTTTTAGAGTTTACATTATAAAAATGACAATACTGCGCGAAATTTTAATTCCGCCACTGTACTTATCATTCATTAATAAGTTTTCCAAAAAAATTAAAAGTTTAAGCAAAAAACGTTTGGTTCCATACTTTTTTTCACCTGGCATATGAATTGGTGCATATTTTCATTTAGACAATTACATGTTTGTAACAAAATATATAGAAAAATTATATAAAATCGACTTTATTTATTTATTTTTTTATTTTTTCTTATTTATTAAAACAAAATAAAAAATCTACATTAACATTTTCTTGTACACAAGATAATCAGATACAGATTTACTTCCCGTTTTTAATGTCCCACGTACACCGCACCGTTCTTATAGTTTCCCAAATATTTTTTTAAGAAACGATACAGTTATTTATTACCGTAACTTTCCTTTTTTTCACTTACAATCACCATTAATTGAAAGTATAGACAAAAAAACATATTCGCTACCTTAATTAGTATAGAATTAGCATGAAGAAATACTAATGCAGTTGAGTTTTTAGCATTTCCGCACTCTTTCCGCTAATAACACTTACCGAGATCACTGGTGCAGAATGCGTGCGCCAATTCCTCGTTAGTACATGGTCGACATTCTGCAAAAAACACAAAAATGACAATTTCTCGCGCTTTCACCAACAAGATTTTATTTTTACCTTCTGTGGGGTCGAACCCCTTGACACCTTTGGGCAACGCTTGGAGATCATATTCGATTTCGGCGATTCTCTTGGTGATGGCGTCCACATCGGTGGCTTCCACGTAGATGGCCGCTTGGCCGTTCTTACTGATGAAGCACCTGCAACAAGGCAATAATTTAATTTTTTCGCTACTAGCTGTAAAAGATACCATTATTTAGTTTGTCGAGAGGTCGTGAAATTGTTTTTCTCTCCTAGTAGTCAATAATCATTTTCATTATGGATCAAGGGCTATAATGGATTAGAGGTGGGTAAATGCCGATATTGGAGGATATTACATATTCAAAACTATTATCATCACAAGTACTAACGGAAGTATTTCGAGATGAAATTAATGCAAAATCAAATAAAAAAGACTTAAACCTCCTCATTAAAACATCATAATAACCCCAACTTTAATCCTTTTGTTCTGTCTATGTCAAAATTCTCAAAACAACAAATGGCTTTGTTTCATGTTAAAGTACTACCAGAACTGAAGCAAATTTTAACACTTTTTCCCTTTTGTTTGCAGTTTCTTTGTTATTTTAACAAATATTATGAAGTTAGAAAAATCCTTTAATAGTGCAGAAGTACAAAAATGACAATCATTAACGATAAGAAGAAAATAATACTTCCAACATAAGTTAATAAGTCAGGAAAGTAATTAATAATTATAGGTAATAGTGAATTAACAAAAATAGGAGTTGTGAATTACAACATGTTACATGTCCATTAAGTAGGGTTATATAGGGTGTTTACCGTGTTAGAGTTGAAAAAAATAGAAGAAAACAGAAATACTGTAACCGAGAAAAAAAACTCACACAATTGTTATTATTAAGATTGTTATTTAACTCCAAAATATTGTTGGTACACGGTTTGAGGGTCACTGGAATTATTTACTTGTTCAGATAAAATTGTATTGTTGCAATAAATAACAAAATCATCTCCATGACAATGAAATAGAAAAGTCACTTCATAGTTTTGACACTGTCATCATTTTATTTGCTTTTTTTGCTTTAGTTGTTATCAAAATTCGAACATCTCCTGTTTAATCTCTTACAGCGAAATGGTTTCCAATAGGTTTGATTCGTCTTTCTTGATTTTTTCCAAATTCATGGACTTGAGTTACAAATATTAAAATAATAAATTAGTTGTTGTAATTATGATTTACGGTAAAACACAAGATAATGATACTAATAGCCATTGTTGCAGCCGAAGCAACAGTTCTCAAATAAATAATATAAAATGAATTATTTACTTTTACAACTTAAATTTTTGTTTTATATAGCGTATTAGATTTCTTCTAACGTGAATATTATCTTATTTAAATTTCAACCTCAAGACCGTAAACACCCTGTATTTTTCACCGTTGTATTTCTGGGTAATAAATGTGGTAGTAGTGAATTTTTTTTTATATCAAACACGGTAGAGAAGATTTTTAGAGCATCGCATTCATTAAACAGCTTGGCTATAACAAATCTCTTCTCTACCTTGTGATATAATATACTATTAATTTATTTTTTAGCAAAAAATGACACTTGCCTGATGGCTTTATTGGCCGAGTCCGCGTAGAGCGGTAGCAGCGAGCGGGGCCCTTCGAGGAAGAGCCTCGCCGCCGGTTCTTTCTTTTCGTCGGGATGGACCTTGATGCAGGCTCGGAATTCGCGGTCTTGTCCCGGGAGACGGAGGAGGACCCTGAGTGCCCCTCGGGGGTACAGCCAGGTCACTCTGCCGGCCGAGCAGCGCAGGTAGACGGGAGTGACGCCTCTGCCCGTCGACGAAGAGCTCAATCCGCTGAAAGAAAATGGAACAAGATTAGTCTCGTTATGACATAACAGTTATCTCAAACGCGGAAAAATCCATGTTTTTCGATTTTCTGCTCGAGTGAGATTAAAGCCGAGTCATTTGTGATAAATTGCACGTTTCGGGAGCGTTAATAATATGCATAATCGAGTTCGAAGTTCCGTTAGATCGGTCCTTTGGGCTTTGCTCTGCGCATTTATCGGAGATGAACCGGGCCAGAGAGTAACAGTTTAATTATGATGAATAAATCGACCGTTTTCACACGCAATTAAATCGGATGAACGACTCGTGGCCTTTTATTTGCACGTTCGATCCGTTAAGAATGCATTAAATAGCGACAATTCGGTCGAATCGAAGCTTTGTTCCGACCGAACCAAACAAAATCTGGATTGAAATATGCGTCGAAATCCAATTAAATCAAGTCAGGTTGGAATGGGGAAATCGTTTCTGGCTAATCGTCGACGATTACCGCATACCAAAAGCAACGAGAATCTTTTATCGGCCAATTTGACCGATGGGTTTAATAAGAACAGAGAAAATTGGGTAGTGGCGTGTTTCGACTCGTCCAAAAATTATTACACAAAGTCAAATAAGAAACGCGAAACGGAGAACTAGAACTCGAGCTGTTTTCTGGAATTTCTAGTTGATATAGGTCAGGTCATCAAGTCATATTTACAGTTTCATCTACCTACCACAGAAATAAGTACATTAGTTTTAACCACTAATAGCCTGTTCTTGTAGGTATTATTTTTTTAGTGTTTTCCTAGAAAATCCCATGATGTTCGTACACTGTGGTCAGTTTCAGTAAACGACCACAACAAATTTTATTTATTTTTCTTTATTTCACTCAGGCATTTATACAACTACTTTTTGTATAGTAAATTTACAAATATTGGTGAAATATCCATTGTAGGAGTAAACAAGACTTGCAAAAGCCTCGCAACAAATTTAAAAAAATATAACATTAAAACTTACAATTCACTCGACACGTTTTAGTCCAGTCAAAGAACAAGTGGTGAATGTATGGTCGGGAACATATTTTTGAGTAAGTTATGACCAGCGGGGCCCAGGGGGGCACCTAGAAGGTGGCCCCTTATGCTTTTTCGCTTAGATCCACAAAACGGCACAAAATAAGGAAAAAAATACTGAATTAAAGCTTGTAAAACTTTCTACAAGATGGTCTTTTCGAGTTTTTTGTAGCTCAAATAGTTTTCGAGATATTCGCTAGCAAATAACACACTCTTAAAAAAAACCGTGAATAACCAATAATAAATTATCCTAAGAATGGTTGTAAAAGTTGTAAGCCTTGTGATTGGACAGTTTAAAGTCAGCCATTACAATAATGTAAAAAACCAATCACATTAGTCTCTTGGATTCATTCAAAATTTTGCATAGATGTGATTGGTCCCTTTATGGTCGGCCATTATTATAATGTGAGTAACCATGGAGAAACCAATCACTTTAGACTTTAGTTTAATTGAAAAATCGAGCGAAAATGATTAATTCTATTTTGCATTCATTCATTACGTTGATTCCAATTTTTAATAAAAATGTATTGTGTCTGCTCTTTGTCACCTCCGTGCCCTCTATTGTGACAATTGTGAGTATTTGCGCCGTATGTTTCGTTGTAACCTACTTGTTTGGGAAATAAGACATAAATAGGAAAACTAGTGTTTTGTGTGCTTACAAATACAATATAAATTAGTGACAAACAAAGAAGTGAAAAATTTCTTCGAATTTAACATTTTCAAGTGCAACAAATGAAACATTACCTCATTTTCTTGGTAGGTTTTTTTAAAAAGTGTGTGCAATATATAATAGCAAATATCTCAAAATATATTTAAAATACAAAATTTCAGAAAAAACAGTCTTGTAGGAAATTTTATAAGCTTTAATTGTATACATAACAATTTTTGTAATAGGTACCGTTTTCGAGAGCCCTTTTTTTGAATGTTCATTGATTGGACTATTTATTAAAATTTATAATTTGAGCACTTTTTCGATACCTAAGTGTATTTATAGTATTCCCTAATGTTTTCAATGAGACGATTAATTATTATTTGATCATTTTAATACCATTAGTATTTTGGTAGATACAGCTCTTCAAAGACGCAGCTTTCTTATTATTTTTTATTTTTATTAATTAAGGAAGACAATTTTTTTGTTTTATTAATGAGAGGCATTAAAATATGTATGTGAATTATTAAATAATAAATGAAATCTTAAAAATAATAACAAATGCGTGAAAAAAGAAAAACATTTTCTGAAGAGATAAAGTCGGCAACCATCAGCACACCAAAAATTTGTTGACTACGTCTACGTAGCAATAAAGAAAAAAGTATCAACGGTATCAAATATCTTAAATTATTGAGTGCAAGCAGAAGGTGCAGCGTGGCCTATTTGAAAAACTTGCAGGCAAAAAAATATGAAAAGCTTTTATGCATGCCCTTGTGTTAGTGTTTTTTTATTACCACATAAACCCTTTTAAATCACCGTGTATATAAAAAAAATCTGATTATAGGGGTTCAAAGTTTGCACATTTGACCTTATTTATTGCAGTTGGTAAATAATTTCACATGTTTACAAGTATTTATTAGATGTTATTAGAAAAGTAAACAAAGAAACTGTATTTGAATTGCAACTACATATCTTTAATGTTATTTGTTGATTTTGTGCTTTTTTAATTGAACAAATAATATGTTGCAACATCACCAGTAACAATAAAGAGAAATATAAACAAAGTCAAATAAGCAAATTTTAAACCTCCATAATTATAGATGGAATTTTGTTAAACATTTTTAAATCTAAAAAGTCCAAAAAATATCGCTAAAAAGCATTTTTCAATCAATTACCAAAAATTTGAGCTTAGTTATCTTCAATTTTATAAAACTAGACAAATAAGTTTTTGACTCGGCTTTTATGTGAGTGATTTTCCGGCGTCTTGGGTAAGAAATTCTTGTCGTGATTTAGTTTTGGCGGGAGAAGCGTTGGGATCGAATTACACAGTCTCGCCACCCTCCGCCATATGTGGCACCTGCAGCGAGTAAGAAATCTACAAAAGATCGCAAAATTACAGGTCGAGAGACTACAAGAACCACTGGAGGCAATGCGTGATGTTCATACCGTTACCTGTAATTTTTTCATTGTCCGCGTACGCGATATTGGTAGATAAATCGTGTTAAAGAAATGCAAAAACAACCCTCGTCTAAAATTAGAAACCACATGTGTAACATTCATCAGACGGGTGGTAGGAATTCCTGGTTTCTTGTCGGAATTCTGGCAAACAAGTGGCTAAAACAAATGATCCGTCGTTAAATTATTAGATAAGTCGGAGAGGAAAGACCACTAACCTTTCCAGATTGTGATTTTTGTTGAAACGGGCCCGATAACAGTACGCTTTCACTATCTGAGCGCCCGTAAATCACGTCGTTTCCCTTCTGATTGTACAAACTACAGGTTAATGTTTCCACATTTTACCTGTCGAGTCCTTTGCAGGTGTATGTAGTCCTCGAGTAATGACAACCGGTCTACAATTTCAAAAGTGAGGACGATCCTGTGACAAGACAATTATTTTTATTTCCGTAACTGGTTCAACTGGATGATGACACTTGACTTCATAACGATCTCGTTTCTACATTTTTATCTAAATTTTCTTGTATGGGTGGTAGGTAAAAGGCCGCACAAAGTAAAAGTAGTCCAGTTTCACCGGGCACGAGATAATAGTACCACGCCCTGGCTTGACAACATTCTATCCGGTTCTAATGCGTGCTTATTGAACCAATTAATTACGACATAATTAAAAAACGAAACTCTCGATTTTTCAGCGACCATCTGGCGTGACCTCTGATGCTACCGTGTCCAATTGCAATTTCCCAGAAGTGGACCATTTCAGATAAATAAAACATCAAACCTGAAGTTCTACTTCTGTATGAGTTATAACACTAGATGCCACGGATTTTGTATGCAAACTAGCTTTCGGCCGCATGCTGGACGATTTATACGCCTCCGGGGATTATGTTATTGTGTCAAAAAAATGCTTATCAGATTTAAAGTCTCCCGGTGTGTCGAAGAAAAGTGCCTCTATAATCTATTAACTTTTTAATGGTTGATGAAGTGAGTCCGTTGCAATTATCTTGCCGAAACCGATGCCCGATTTCTGCTGACTAACTCTATTCCATTCCGAAAGTAAATGATCCGGGCTTGGATTTCGACCAGTCACCTTCTTGTGTTGTGGAGACAATTATCGAATCTAGCCATCGAAATTTAGACACGCTAACGCCTTTCTCGATCGCATTAACATTCCCTTGTTTCCCTCTCAGGAAATCTACAGTTTTAAAAACTAACATTTGACATTTTTGAGACGAAAAATGGTCGAGCACGAAGCCATATAGTCTATCGGATAAAGGTGATCGGCTTTAGTCATTTTTTATCGACTATTAGAGGCTGGCAATCCGAGTGGAGTAAACCCAGAGAGTGGTATACAACATTTCTTCCAACACCTAACCTAAATAATTTATAAAATTTGACGGTTGAGATCTATTGCATGTTATTCTTATCGTATATTATAAACAAATATTGACGTTCATGAAAATATACAAAAAAATAAACTTTATGCGAATTTTTTTCAACAATTTTGGTGTTGAAATATCGGTGGTGGTGTCTGAGAAATTTTTGGGTAATTTTTATTATCCACTAATCAATAAAATAAAAACTAATTTCTACTATCCTTAGAGCAATGGGAAATGTAGGTTGTAAGTATTGGAATAATAAAAACTTCTCACCTACGAAATGAATTTGTCACAAAGAAATCCTACCCAATCATAGTATTAAAATTTAATGAATTATTTTGAGTGACTTGTAAAAAACATAACAGATTTTTTTTTGAAGATTTTACATAGAATTTCAACAGGAGAAATTGCAATATTGGCTTTAATAAATAATATTCTTACGTTTAATTAAATTAAGAAATCACAAAATCATTTTCTAAAATGTGAACTTACTTGTTTTTTTTTAACAATTGCTCTTATTTAAACATATCTGAATAAAATTAAGCGAAAATTATTTTATTAATGTGTAATAAAATTTAAATATGTTTACACTACGTTAAAGAAGAATATTGTCAAATGCTGCTTATCAAATAAAAAAAATGTAAATAAAACTCGTAAATTAATGGTTTCTTCCTTTATAGTTTTGAACAAAAGTATATTTTACTAAATCAATACAATAAACGGCAAAATCTTGTTCTAAACATGTTATTTCATTTACCAGATTTTTTTGCATTGCCCTTATTTAAAAGATATTTTTTTACAAGAAATCGAAGGATTTATTTGCTTCTGGCTTTTAATTATTAGCATTTGAGCTAATACAGGGTGATTCAAAAGTGTTGGACTAACTCTCGAATGGTGAAAGACGACTTTAGCTAAGCAAAAATAAATGAATTCAGACTTTTTCTCAAACCTTTTCTTTGAGAAAAAACAGAACAGTTTAAGTTCCATATAATCATGTAGGCATTTTAGCTCTTGTCGGATTTAATTTATTGTTAAATTTGCTAGTTTGTTATATGTTTTGAACACTATAATACACAAACTGGTGATTTTTTCAACAACAGGTATCTGTTTAATGTTTTCAAGATCTGCTGTTTCCGCTAACTAAATTCAAGAACACATGATCTGAAGGGCCAAAAACCTAACCCAAAATCTAACTTATAATTTCGTAAAAAAAAAAGCTGAAACAATTTTTTGTCATGTGAATTTTTAACTCAGTTGGATGTTTTATCACCACCAAAGAGATGGTCCCACACTTCTGAATCACCCTGTAGAAAATCGCACATAGCTGAGGAGAGTTTTTATAGTGGTAAACAATGTGAAAACAAAGTCAACATATCGTTTGTTTATAGTTGAATTATTAGATCGAAGCAAATTTCAAGTTTCTTCAGATTTAATTTATTTTTTAATCAAAATCAACAAAAAACCTAGCCTATTTGAAACGCTACTTGAATTTTTTGGTGTAAATTAGAACCAAAATAAAAATTTTGGGAAATATCGAAGTAAATTTCGCTAATTTGCACTTTACATTTNAATTTGCACTTTACATTTTTAATTTACATTTGATAATTTATTTTATGCTGATTACAATGATGAACAAATCCAACAATCCAAGATCCAAGAAGAAGATGATTACAATGATGTTAGATTTTTTGCGATAGCTCCAAAAACATTCAAAATATCGAATATTTTTTTAAATAGACGATTTTTATTTAATTGAATACAAGAAATGTGTTACTTCTACATCTTTGGCGGTAAGAGATTTTGAACTAATGAGAAAATCGCCAAATTAAGCTCAATGTGTTTACATTTTTCAACCAAAATCTTGAGTATCATCTGTTGTTAGATTTAGCACATTTTTGTAAAAACCACTTGTTTTTTAGAACAGAAAATGACAAAATCAGTTTGTTTAGTCAGTTATGAGAGTTAGAAAAGTATAATTACCGAACTGATACAATTTATTTCCATTTTGAACAAAAATGTTTATTTTAAATGCTAGTTAAATGAATGTATGTACTTGTTCGGCTGTTATGTTCGCTTTGGCTCATTTTTTTACCACAAATCACTTGTCTTTTAAAACAGAAAATATGTAGTAAAATATGGTTCGAAATGTGTTATTTTGGCTTGTTTGGTTCGCTTTGAGAGTTTAAATTACCGAAATGAGGGAAGCATTTTAAAGTTCAAATTCATAAAAATTTTAGCCTTGCTCAACTTTTTCCTCAAAAGTTACCGTCTTACTCATCCATTTTATTCATGTCTATCTAAACCCACAGTCATTAATGGACGGTTTTATTGCCGCATGTTTGTGGTCAAGCTGAGTTTTTCGTCTAGTTTCGAACAATCACGGCCTATTGTTATGAATATAGTGCAGAAAGCTGTGTCATTATGGGCTGATCTGTCTCTTCGCCCATCATTAATACCACTCAAAAGCCGATTGTTCTGAGGACCTTGACCACGGCGCGAGTGAGGAGAACAACGTCTTTAAGATTAGCATAAGGATTGCCTATTGATCTTGAAGGGTTGGGCGTCTACTGTTGGACAATGTGGACGTGGGCTGAGGCAAGACCCTCGTCGTGTCACTAAGAACTCGCTCGACAATAGGCGTTGCCTCATATGCGAAGACATCGCATTGTTGTAGACACCCACACGATCAAACTGCTCCAGATAAACCAAAAGAAAGGCTCGTGCTAGGAACAAAGACTTTAGTTGGTTTTCAAAGCACGCATTAATAATCGGAAATCTCACTAAAATAATAAGAAGGTTTTATTGTCGAGTTATTGCCATCAAAGACAATGGCATTCCAACGCCACGTTTGACGAGATGTCGACGGAAACCAACAGTTTGTTTAACAATACGATACTCTGTGTACATAACGATAATATTTATGTAAATTTGAACCGGAGAATTGAGGCGTAATTGCTTTAATTGGCGCTCGTGCTGGAAATCGGGCCGTTTTTGGGCTATTATTTTTATATAACGATATAAAAGTCAAGGCGATTTAAGTCTTCCGCATAAATCACTCGTCATTATATTGTTTTTGGAGAGCCGCAGGCGAAGACAAAAGGGTCTTTCTTTCCAATCTTGTCTAAATAAGATGGAGAGCCGGTCCTGTTTCGATGCCATAAAAAAGCTTTTAGGCGACTGGCCATCGAACTATCAAGCAACACTCTCGCTCATTGTGATCCATATCGGCGATGGTAATAACACCCATGATGGGTCAGAGTCAAAATGGACGAAATTGAATCTGAATATTCGTCAAAAAGCACGCTCGGAGCGACTCACAATTAATCAAATCGGTGATTTTAATATGGGAAACTCGAAAAAGCCGATTCTCCACGCTTTTATCTCGACGATTGACGAAAACAAGTCAGTGTCACGATTGTTTGGAACGTGTCCCACGCAACTCCGAAGACGTCCTACAGTAATTTATCGCTGAATTTTCTCTAATTATGCAAATGCAAACGTCCTTCAAAGCAATCATTTAGCTTTTCGGCGGGTTTTTGAAAGCATGCAGCAAGTCGCACTTTTTAACTAGGGTAGGAGTGGACCGTTGAACCTCCGTATAGCCTCTTATTTATTACGGCACCGTCAGGTATTTCAGTCTGGCGTGTAGTGGAAAGCCCTGCGGTAACAAAGTTCTCTTTTGTGTGGGAAGCACTTCGACCCACACTGCTCTTCTTCAACTCTTTTTACTCAACCCTGTAGCAAGTCACACCATAAGGCCAGATTGCTCCCAATTCAAGACGCTTCTTAATTACATCAACTTGAAGCACAATTAAGGCCACTTGAGCGCAAAAAAGATACAAATTTGCGATGAAGAGCACCAGATTTCCGTGAATGTTCTTCTTAACAAGCTATAACTATAACAATTATTTTTAATTTAGTGCGTGCTTTGAGGGAATCGACACATGTTGTTATTTCTGCAAACGTGAGAAAAAAGCCTATCACGCGTCATTAGTCATAATGTAATCGTGCAATAAGAGAGCAGGAACGTGATACTTTCCTAAAGCTGCTTGTGAAATATTTGTGCAATATCCGATTGAGCAATAGGATTTTGTTAACGAGCATAATAACGTGCTGAAAATGGTAAATTTGCTATTGTCCGTTCTATAGACTCACTGAGGGTTGTCACTGGTTGTCCTTTAGTATGTAGTTTAGTCTGATAAGAAGTAGTGGGCATACATATACCTACAATTTTTTCTAATAAGCATCAAACCTTTTCTTACATTTTCAAAATTATCTAAATCTAATCTCAAATCACCTGCAAATCAAACGTTTTCATTTTGTAATTATCAATAGTTCACATGGATCGTAAAAATACTGTTAAATAGTACATTACAAGCGAGGTGGTAAATATGGCATTACCCCGAGTGCTTATGCTTATAAAGCACAAGGGGTAATGCCATTACCACCCAGGTTTGTATGCTATTTTATTCACAATCACATTATTTTCAGTCAAAAATTTGAGTAAAATTAAATTATAACAAAGTTAAGCTCCAAACGTGGTAAGCCATACAAATGGCGTTTAATTTTTGACATTTCAGAAATGTCAAAGAAAATATTGAAATAATGTGTGAATCTGATCTAAAATCGTCGAAATGGAGCAGTGTGCTCCGCCAGAAGTAAGAGAAACTGCTACAAAAGCAATTGGATACTAGTTTAGAAAATAATTTATGCGTAACTTGGCAATTTGAAAGAAAAAAATCCTGGTTTTAATAATATTAAGGTTGGCTATTCTGCATAATACCGACCAAGAGAAGTAATGTTACTCCTCATGAGATTTAATGTGTTTCCCAATCTTTAAAAGGTTATTATTAATCGGCATATTACGTTAGTGATTGTGAATAAAAATCTTTACAAATTCGTTTGCTATTTTTCTTTTTTGTGCTGTAGGTATAATAATAATTAGCATTTAACACGAAACTATTAATTCAGCTTATGTCATCTATAATAATAAAAAAATCAATGTTTTTAGGGCGGATCAAAAATTGACATTTTATGTTTGTTGTTCGTTTTATGTATTATTATGTGTTTGTGTGTTTTGATATAAATAAGAATTTCAAATTAGTTAGGTTCACTAAATGATGAACAATTTTTTTTTCAAATCTTACAAGTATACCACAAAATTGTTACATGTCATCAAATTTCTAAATAAAGTGTCTTTGACTATAAAATTAAGTTGGTAACAGAAGATGTGGGACTTGTCAATTTTCGTATTCCGTGTTGCCAACTTAATTTTAAAGTCACAGGTCATTTTGATTAGAAACTTAATTTAATGCATGGTGTTTAAAACCATCAAGATGAAATTTTAGATACATCCTTTGTGCGCAGAGCACATTTTATATGGTTTTTACAGCTTGGAAACGTTTTTTCCGAAACCGTTAGATAGTAAATGCGAAAAAAATAAAGAACATTCTCTTCAGACGTTTTTTGTACCCATTTCTACTCTTGATTTTTTTTCCAAGTCATTGTGAGTGTTATAAAAATCACAAACACTATAAAATAGAAAAAAAATCTTTACTTTTCTTTATTTTTAAAAAATCTTAATTTATAAAGAATACACTTCAAATTTTACTAGCAGTACATATTATTACAAGTTATTAGATAAAGTCTTGATTAATATGTTACATAGGTACATAATTATAGATGAATAATAAACAAGA